TACCATCTCCGTGATTGTACCATTCCGGCCACTTACAACCCGCTTACACATCAAGCATGCATCAGCTAAAAAAAAAAAAAAAAATCATCGGTGCCGCTTGACTGAAAAGAAAAATTATTTTCTCCTTGATGAAACAGAGAACTCATTAATGACAATATCTTACTACAGTGGAACATGGCGATAGTACGCATATTACCCTTCAATACGAATACGTGACTGCTCTGATACTCTCATCACCACTAGTATTGGCATTTCGCAAGCTCGATCTACACGCAACCCTCCGGAAACCCCCACACACAGCCCCCGCCGCGCGCTAGCGTTAGATGCTGAATTATGGTAGTATAGCATGATCTGGTACGATCGTGAGATTTTGGAACGAAGCCCCGACGGAGATCGGGACAGCTAGCGCTAACTTGCTCCTGTTGATCAAGTCACCAGGGTCTTAAGTATTATCCGCATTACAACCGATGACGTCTCGAAAATTCGGTACCGTCATAGCGCGCCTAGATACTATGTAGCCGCTAAATTCAAACGATCCTCCTCCACCCCCGAGCGTCAGCACTATAAATAGGTAAACTGAACACGAGAGTGTGCGCGTAAAAATGAACATGAACTCTCTCAGGATTCCAGTATCCTTAGTAACTGGGCGCTAAAACCAAAGCCCACAAATTGATGTTTGGTGAGCATTGCTTGGGTGTGAAATCCCATCAAACATGATGCTAAATCCTCCCGAGAAAATTGTACTTTTGTGCGCGGAAATGCCCGTACATGTATCTAACGCGCGGTCGCTCCGATCTGGCGGACTAATGCTATGAGATTTTAGGGTCCTCGGGTCCAGCGGCATCGTGCAAATAAGGCTAGGCTTAGTTTCGATCTCCACTAACACTAGCAGCCAGTGGTCACACTATAGAAATGATAGTCATCCAGGGTCGGTATGTGTCGATTTACTATACCCAATGAATCAGATAAGTGGCATGGCCACTGTTCACGCAAAGGGTGAATATATATATGGGGCGGTGTTCAGGAAAGGTCTGATCAGCCACGAGCTGTCCCAGCAACTGAATATAAGAGGATGATTTCCAATGCTTTTGACGGGGCCATTGTATACGGTTGTCGTGAGCGCGCGGCCGTGTGATGCGAGTAGACACGCAAGACCAACTATGTAGTAGCAAAAAAAAAGGCGCCCATGCAACAAGCAAAGGATACACGTACCTTTGTTCCGACTTCGGGTCCCGGGACCTGAATATTTCTTTCTCCCCCCCCCCCCCCCCCAAATCAAGGAAAGCAGCACTCCCTCCCCCCCTGGCTCTGCATAGCTATTCCAATGGGACCCTAGCTAGTACATGACCTGCCTACCTGAGAACAAGCGAGAGCAGCCAATGGATCAAGCCCATAATTTGCGCGCAACCGCTACCGAGTATCACACACACACACATTGACACATGCACACACACACGTGGACACACACAGACCTAGAACGCCAATCGATAATATACCTATTATAAGCCGGCAGCCACCATCCCCTCGCCGAGCGCCAGCTAGCGTGGAAATCGAATTTTAAAAAGGCCTCAGTTGGCATGATCATCACGTATAATAAGATCATTCGACCGTTCCCAGAAATTGTAAGAGGGAATTAACCCTCCCATCAATGTTGCAAACGCCTTTGCACATGGCCAAAACAAAGAAAGTAAATATCGATTAACTTGATTTCGTATGGTATCTGGTGTCGTGATGGTTGCGCAACGCCTAGAAAGTCTGCATGGCACCGACGCAGATCGAAGTGAGACGACTGGAATTTAAATACACCACGACACAAGCAAATGTAAATACGCAGTTGATGATTTCCAACAGCCACGCAAAGGGTTTCGACAAATCAAATGGACCTCATATGTATCTCTAGCTGTATAGTGATACACAGCGTGATAGAGAAGAAAAAAACAACGAGAAGTGTTCATAACGTTGCAGAATCGATGGCTAATTAAAAGAGTCCAAGTACGTGTGCAGTGCGCATGGAGACTAGAGGAAACCACATGGCTAGATGAGGATGAAGAATGCTAGTCTGTGGAAATCCAATTGGGGTTAGAAAAACAATTGAGAGGAGGGAGAGAGAGAGAGAAGAACAAGAAGATTTATCAATTCACCATGCACGTTTTCGTTGTCGCTGCATGCACGCAGTCGTTGCGCTAGGGGGATGTCAACCGGTTGGATGAATTCGAAGACATTGGGCGAATCAGCCACGAGTATGTACTATCATATCATATCATATCATATCAGCGCACAGATAAACGGATTTATTAATAAATATATAATATATAACGATAGTGCAACGCCACAAATCATCGATGGCATGCAAAGAAAAGAAAAAAAGAAGAAACCATTCGTGAATGTTGATCTAGATACATACTCTTTATCGATCTTATCATGCGTGGATAGATGCGCCTAGCTCGATCAAAAGAACGAGGGTGGTCCGAGATCGATTGCACGAAAGAGTCGATTATATATAAGCCACTCACGCGCGTGGACGTGCGCAGGGATCTTGGTCAATCACTGCATAGCTTTGCCCACCACACCCTCCCCCATGATCATCTGACTAAGGTCACATTATGCCTTCCACTCACGGGAAATTAAAAAGATGCGATAAAGTATTTTAAAGTGTGTAACGGAGAATAGTATAGATAGATAGTACATGAACACCTGATATGGGTTCATTATGGATGACCCGAAATGGAACAAATTAAACCATTGGTCATGCTCTTGCTGGGGCTGGCGTATATATATATATATGTATTGGTGCATGCCCGTTGGCGTAACACCAGCTTATGCCGTACCACTGGAGAGCGAAATGAAAATTAAAGGGTCCATGGAACTGTGTGAGCGGACACATATAATATACCCGGTGCTACGTACCGTATATATATGAATTGGAGTTAGTACTAATCCCACACGCATGTCAGGAATGAGAGTCTGAGGGCCAAGTATATGCATGGCTAACTAACCATCGGCTCGTCAGTTGATAGAATCATGAGACCCGCCAGTTATACACATCATCTCCGTGTGAATGTGGTGGCGTGTGCATGTGTACTGTCACGGCATGCCAGCAGCGATATTGTCAACGCCAGTGGCTAGGCAATTATTAGTAGAACCTACCCAAACGAGACAGGAGGAATCATCTTCTAATTCCGAGAAGACAAAATTTGATTACCCCGTGAATGGGATCATCGGGCTTAAGTTCGTGGCCGGAGCTAGAAGCAGGAGCCGTTCTGATGGCGCTAGGGAGCGCCCGTGCTTCCTGTCACCTGCCATGGTGAATTCAGTCAGAACATACGTCGAAACTCAACAGCCGGGTGTGTCAATCAGTCGAAGCCGACTGACAACAAAGGGGCTTGCGGCTGGGCGGGGGGGAATCCTTCGACTGCTCCATTCTTGCTCGACCACCGAATCATGCAATGATTAAAAACCTCCGGTGCACGTCACTCCGGACTCAATTAGTTGCTTAGTGAGCCAGCACTGGGAGCAGAAGATCATGCCAATGACAGCGGAAGGCAGCCCCTTCCGATTTAATCTCGCACGGCTACACCAGAACTAGAGGCCTAGGATTGAAAGGGCCGGGAGTCCAGCTCCAAATGATCATTTAATCCGTTGTGGAAACGTTCTACCTAATGGCGCTACTTTGACACTATCACGACTGTGTACGTGTATGCGCGCGAATGAATGAATGATCTTCAAGTTGGTGGTAGGCGACATGTAAATATAAAAGAACCATTGGTTCCCCGGCAGGTCTTGGTAGTAGGACGCACTATATATATATAACGCACACTGTAAGAGCGAGTGTGTCATTCGATTTCGGCGGAGTGAATTTCTAGGAGATTTGCTATTATCGATAGTGCGAAAGCTGAAAGCCACCATCCTGCAATCGCTAAGGCCGAGAATCGCCTAACGCCCTGCAGGGTCCAACAACATACACCGAGCATTTCACGTAGCAAATCATTTTTTTTTAAAAAAAAAAAATAGCTACCAGCTCCAGCCCACACCCTTTCATAGCTCCTCTATCACGACGAGAAAATATTATTTTCCAGCTGAGCACCAGAAAGAGCCTTCGATCCACTGCACCCGTACACTGGCACCAGAGAAAAACGTATAAGTAAGCCATTATTAAAAAATGCCGCAAATGGATGTTTTGTTTTGGTCATGACATATTCCAGCGCAACCCGAATACTGCCAGATATGTAACGACAGAGTGCTAACGCGCGGGATCGACGAGTTCATATATTCTCGATCGCGTCTCGCAATGCGGCGTTTTACATATATATAATTAACTGTCATCCGACTCAAGTGACCCTGGACCGAGCGCTTGAGATGTATCGGATCTCGACTCTCCCAGCACCTCGGTTCAGGGTGCCCATGTAGCGGGATCGACAGGGTATAGTAGACAGGGGCACATGCCACGCACGGCTAATCAATGGGGCACTTGCGCTGTGATTTGTGGGAACACGGAGCTCATATTTCTTGCACAGATCCAGCGGGGTGGAACGAAATGAAAGATGAACACGGTGTTCTGGAATCTGTGATAAGGAGATGCATCATGTTGCTGACAAGCATAAATCCTAGTTACATAGGTTGCTGCGCAGTCCACATACCATGCACAAGCGCCGAGCAAAACAACTCGACATGCATTGTTTATCTTATGGCGCCATTATACCCCTAGTGTATGTGGAAGACTATATTCCCAGATTCGCTGCGGAAATGTCAGCGAATGGGTTCCATAAGAAAGGAAAGGAGTTCACGATTACTGGTAGAACCTTATATCCATACCAAAAGGACTCGACGATTCAATTCTTTGCAACTTGACAGTATATAAAACGAAGCGGAAGCTAGGTAGGTACTAACCTTCAGGACCGAAACATTTCCTCGAAACGCTATAGCTCACAAGCCGATATTCTTTCTTAATTAAGCCGAAAGCCTAGCTCCGCCTCCACTGCAGCAAGTCTTCGAACAATATAGTCCTCCCTCCACCCCCTCCCCCACCCCGCCCCAAACCCCCTAAATGCTCCTCTTACAGGCTTCCTCGCTACACGTGTTACGCAAAAAAAAAAAATACGTACAACCGCAACTCGAACCCCTGTGCGCGGCCACGTATGTACCCAATATGGCTTCAGCATTTCCCTTTCTTCTCCCCATCCCAAACTCTTCTTCCTGAGATGAAATGGGAGTCCAACAGTTTGTTTACTTATATACCTGGTGCTCAGATGATTGGGACGGGGCTTGTACCCTTTGTCCAGGGGTACTTACTACCTGGGGGTTTCCCGACCGAGCCGCTCGGCGGGAAAAATCAAAGGGAAAAAAAAATCCCCTCTGTCCGGCCAGGCTCTCAAGTGGATCAATGGCGTTTGTCTCCCGTAGTAAGGAGGCACTTTGCGCTGCACGCAGCTAGGCGTGCGTGCAATACCTGCCCCGGCCGCAGATTTGATCGTCTGGAACCAATTGTAAAAGTAAAACACAGCAATTTCATCACACAAGCCATCACAGCACTGGTTGGACCATGGACCAACCCGCTCGGGTGTGTGCGTGCCAGGTACTGGGACGCCCTTCCCCTTCCCAATCAAACAAACAGTAGATCACTCTCATGACCCGACTGCGGATCCGTCCGCGTGCACGTACCCACACGGCCCCCATAGTAAACCCCTCAGTTCTAGAAGTCCCCCCCCCCCCCCCCCCCAAAGTTCTAGCCCAAGTTCCAGTTCCGGGCTGGCTAGGTACTATGTACGATCGGTCAGGAATTCACATTCAAAACCGGTTTGATCCCAAGTCAGGGTAATAAGTACGGTTGGAAAAAAGGAAAAGGAAGGGGAAAAGGGCCCGTTGGTAGGGTTACCAAGACTAGTAAGCTAGTCCAACTCTGTACAAATGCCCGCATTGTTGTACAATGGAACTTTATAGTAGTATGTAACTTGTCAAGTTTTGCCCGCGCGAAGCGGGTTGTTGGCCGGAGATGGCCGCGCATACACCCGGGCCAAGAATCATGCAACCCCCTTCCGGCGCCGGTTGTTATGTAAGTAAAAGAATTGCTCGGTAACTAAAAATCCAAACCGTCTTTTTTTGTGCACTCACAAATTCGTGTACTACTGCTAATCAGCAAGCCCCCCCCCCCTCCTCCTTCACGGTGGTCCCCCATGTCCAATATTATTGTTGGGGCGCGGCCGCGCAAAAACTGCACTTCTGTCTACCCCCTCACGGTGATTTCAACTAATGCATACATAACATGATCCGGATCTGTTCACCGAGTGGCCAGCAGTTGCAACCTCATTGGTGTCAATTAACGAGGAGATCTCCAGCCTTACTATATAGCTCGGATACTGCCCCACCCGCAGATCCTCATATCCATATCCCCTATACAAATACAAACGTTCCATCATCATTATATTTTTTTACATATACATTTTGTAAATTACTGATTGAAATCAATTCTCGGCGACGACTTGGCAAGATCAGCGAGGATGCACTGGTACTTCCTTCTTCTTCTTCTTCTTCGGTTGGTCCCCCCTTGTGTACCCCGTAGGAATACATATGCCACGCACGCACACACACACACACACACAGTGTAACGACTTCTTCATAATGATATTTATATGTGGCCTTCTTTGGAATTTCCGCGGGGTTTAGCGAAGGGACCTGAGAGACAGGGAAGGAACTGATCTGGTCAATTAAGGGTCCAACTAGTGCCATATTACAACACGATCAACATTTTTTTCCTTTTCTTTTCGGTTTATGTCGTAAGCATCAGAATAAAAAAATGCACAGTCAGTATATGCTTGCATGCATAGGAGAATCGACGTCGTCAGGAAATGGACCTCCAGCTGTATCATTAAAATTACAATTCGACAACCACATGTATACAGGCACTGCTTACTAGCCGCGGGGGCGCGGCTTCACAATTGTATCCACATGGTACTACTGTAGATCCATCGTCATCCATCACCATCATACAATGCAATCGTATGTATGAAACCGAAAAAAAGGACATCTCAGTCTATATTTGCATGATGACATGCATCCAACCACCGAAACTGTATCATGCTGTATATACAGAAGAAAAAAAGGACTAAATAAAAAGAGAACCATGCACACTCGGCCTGAGATTACGATGCAGTCCTCGTCTTCTCGTCCAATTTATTCTTGGCTCATTTATGTAAAGCTGGGGCGGATCCTTGAATGAATGATGGGGGGTCGAATGACGCAACTATATTATATATATATCTTGTCTGCCCATTGGACGAGCGCAAGATCGACGACAGGACCAAAAAGAAATGGGAAAAATTATCGAAGCAGCTTGACAGCGAATCGAAGCACGGATGACGAACGCCTCCGAAATAATTATGATGCGAATGGTTGCGGCACGTTCGTGCAGTGTGCCCCCCTTCGGCATGGCTGAATAGTTGCATAGGCTGGAGATCGAGCAGTTGCCAGGGGGGGAGGCAATGAGATGATAACGGCACTGAAGTGCAGATTGCAATATCATCATGCAAGAATGTTAACACGGGGAACAATGGCCAGTCGGGATATGAACGCATGCCACTGGATACAGCAAAAAAAAAAGGCAAGATTGGTATGAAAGGGCTAAAGGAGTATTATTACCACTTACCACTTCGCGGTTACACTTACCAGCACAAGGGAACGATCGCGACGGCCGGCACTCATGGCCGAAAACCCAAATCGTCGGGGTAAGTATGCGGCAAGTTACCATCGTTCCCTCGGGTTTTTCCCTGATCTTCCTCAACGACGAAAAAGATAACCCCCAGGTAACCATGCACCTAAACGATTTAGTTCGGAGATCTCCTGGCCCCCCCTTGGGGGCGATAGGGCAAAAACGTGCCACGGGTTGTAGCCCTTTTCAGGGGCGCCCCCCTTCGGAGGTCGAGTGCCCATGGGCGCTTGTCGCGCGAAAACCAAAAAATAAATTCACACTCGAGCCCTGAGCTTCCGATCAGTTTCTCTGGCACAATAGTTTTCATTCCCGACTATTGTTATCTGGGCTCGGCAGTGACCCCGCCAGTGCTTGGGAAAATCCCCATGTCACCCCATGACACGATATGACCGAAAGGATGAAACAGGAGCCTTCACTCCACTCCCCCTCCACTCCCCCCCTCCCCCTTCTCCGACAGCATGTATTAGTAGACTAGAAGCCTAGCACGACCCAAGTCCGGGCGAACACCCGAATGGATATCGGATCAGAAGGGGAAAGTGACAAGCCCGAGTTGGGGTGCTCATCACTAGTCAGCGCCACTTCAATTGACCGACTCGACTTGAACTGACTCCGCGAGATGCCGGTGCAGGCTGACAATATCGGGCGTAGAAGTCCGCTGTCCAACGTCAGGAAGTCAACACTCAACGGAGGTTCGGAAGTGGCAAAGGCCAGGCATGATATAAAGTGGCTGTGGGAAAATGTACAAGCGAAAGGACGGTGGACGATTCCCGCATAGATGATTTGAAAGATCAGCAATCGATAGTAGGGGGTAGCTAACGTCTATGGAGAACGAACGGCCGACTAAAAGTTGGTCAGGGATTATGGACAACGAAACTAAAGTCGTTCGATGATTTTTTGTTGCCGAACCATTTTTTGTTGGCAGTGATTAGCCATCAGTGACTGATTGGCGAGGGGGAGTGACTGGGAACACAAAGGGGTCGATTCTGGGAGAAGAGATGAATTATCTTGGTACCAGTAGTTGGATTGGATGTCCCTGTCGATCATGGCGATTTCAGCCCGGCGCTTGGCTCACTGCGGTTGCCCCCCCCCCCCCAAACACACACACAACAATTAGGTTTTGGTTGAGAGACGGGGGGTTGGTTTGTTTGATAACTAACGTGCTCGCAAATGGAGGATTCGGGATTCGGGCACATATATCAACTCGAAGTGAGCATGATTACTCATTGCTTACTAGTTCTGGAGGACGTAACAAATTGTACAAGATCCTTGGAACGGGTATGAACTCCGCTTCCCTTTCTTGGGCCCCACCTGGTTTCGCCATCACCATCGGGTTCCAGTACTCTGGTGCCCATGCCTTCGGCAATAATCATGGCGGTGGTTATACGGCGGAAGCCCAAGCCGGCAGCTGAGTTTAGGCGATGAGGAGGATCTGGGTGGGATAAATCAGTTTGAGCGTTGCTGAATATGGATAATCATGAGATGCGAGATGGAGATCTGCGAACACAGCGCGCGCGCACGGGCGGTACCGTCCAGGTCGCTCTAGCGAAGGAAGGAAAGTTTGAAGGGGGGGGGGGGAAATACACATACAAAGTAAAGTGAGACACGTCAATTTTCGAGGGAGAATGTTCGTTCCGGGGTGTTGTCATTGGCTACGGTACGATTGCGGTGCCGTGGGTTGTACCGACCGGCCATGCCATACCGCAGTACTAGTAGTTGCAAACGGTTCCGTATATGTGTTCGAGGTGTCAGCTGGTGTCAAAGCCACCGTTAATTAGCCCAGTTTCAAAGATGACATTTGTGATATATGATCTATTGCCGCGCGCCCGCGCCGTTGATCTTTTTATGTATCAGACGAATGTCCTGAGCTGCCAATGCGCCAGCCGGGTTGGGTTGAGTTGAGTTGATGAGATGAGATGAGATAGCCTCTTTCAATTTCGGGGGAGTATGGGCGGGAGAAACACTGTTGGGGAATGCAAAACCAAAAAAAAAAGAATAGAAATTCTTCGGAGAGTACCTTGTTCTCTGTTAGAGCAAATACTATATAGCTGCGGCAGTTTGCTTACTCAGTTTAGGGATAGTTGGTTTTCATATACAGTATGTTCCTCGCTCGCTTGCTGGCTATGGAGACAGGGCTGAAGCTGGATATGGATGGGCTGTCCAGGTGTTTACGTAGCGCATCGACAATATATTACGGTGAGGTGAGACAACGGTATCAATATTATAGTAAGCACTAAGGAGTATGTGTAGTTGGCGGGCGCGTAATTGGGAGATCTAGAGACATGGATCTCTTGTCATAGTAGCTAATCAGTGTGACAAGAGGGGGATCCGAGGTGTAGGTTTGGCACAAGAGTAGTCTCAGGATGGCTGGTTGTCAACAGGGGCCACTACGGCAGGCGGCAAGGCACGGGTCGAGGAGTTAGGAGTTGGGGGGGTTGATCAAGTGGTACGGCCCGTTGTGAGAATAATGATGATGGCGTGTGGTGGAAGGCAGGTGGCGTTCGTTGTACTTCCATAGCCCCTAGCAACTGCTTCTGGTTGTGCAATATTGCAAGCGGGAGCTGTTATCGAGTGTGTTGTTGTGAGGAGCATGAGGGGTAGGGAATGGGTTCGTTGGAATGGAAGGATCTGAGCGACGACGGTGGACGAGTTGGTGATTACTTGTTGGATGATTTACTGTCACGTTGACGTTTCTCATCCCTCCTGCTCGTTGTTCACCCTGTCGTTCTTGATGCCTTCCTCACTTCTGATCAATGTACAAAAGTAAAAGAATAAAAAAAAGTTTATTGGTTACACGAAGGAAGTTCGGGGGGGAGGAGGAGGAAAGAACTCCAAGGAACGAAGGACGAGGAGTCACTGGTTTTTTCATTTCATTCTTTTCTTTTTTTGACAATTGAATAGGAATCCCTATTCATTTCTATTCAATCTGAATGTATATATGCGGAAATGTATTTATTCGAGTATTGAGTTGAGAGGCTCTGTATTACTTGCCCTAACATATTCGTACCAATATGAATCAAAGTGGAGTTTACATTGCCATATCAGGTGTGACAACCAATTGGGCAGGTGAACACCAAAACTGCTCGTCTCTTCTCCATCCCTCCTCACCACACGCATTGTCTTTCATGAGACTTGCGCCGAGTAGCCGGGTCAGAGTGCGACTCTGTCGAAGTGTTGAAGGGACCTCACGCTCGCCCTTTTTCTTGCCGACATCTTTGGATCGCGTCAAGGCCAAAAGTCCTCAATCCTGATAAACCGATTCCAAGGCCTAATTCAGTGGCATTTTGGATCATAAAATACAAATTTTGATAAGTAATTATTTGGATCCGAATGATTTCTTTGCGATTTGTATTCAAATATTCCGAAGCCCTTCCCCATTGACAGAGTTGGAATTACAAATCGCAGTAAATGGAATTAAAATAATGCTATGAATGGAAAGTCAGCAGGATTGAATTGGATTGCTGGAATTTCAATGCCGGTAGATTTAGTATTTTTTGGATTTGTATACATGGGCTTCATTGGGTAGGTATAGGTGCACTACAAAACCTTGTTAACACTCAACTGCACGTCGTCTCTCGTCTCTCTCTCTCTCTCCCTCCCGCCCTCCCGTCCCTTCCTCTGCCGATGCCCATTGCCCCTCTCATCCCAACATGGACATCGATTACTGCTCAGTTTGTTATAAACATATCGTAGGTCTTCCCTCTCTCTCTCTTCCAAAATTTATCCTTCCCCCCCCCCTCCCTCCTTCTCTGAGCAATACGTCTCATTCTTCACCTTCCCCGTTGTAATCCCTCTTAGGATACGGGTGCTCTCTACTGTTCATTAGCTTGTGAACGAGCTGAAGCACGTCCGACGCCATCGTCTTCCTCCTCCTCACGCAGTCGCATCATGCAGTCTTCCGCCAACAACTACAAGCCCCTCAAGATTACTATGCCTCGTTACGATTTACCCCTTCCTCTCAACACTTCATCTTCTAGTCGTGGTGTTCGTTACCCATATTCCCAAATGTCTTCTCCAATGGACGACGTTATTCCACCTTTTCCCTCTACTCGTCTTGCCCACAACAAACACCGACGTTCCTCGCCTGAACAACTCGCTCGAGACATGGCAGCGATTGAAGAATCGTTTGCGGATGCCTCGATGTGTCCTACAAGGACACCCGCCGCTATTACTACTTCAAGTAATCGTACACACGTCCGGTCAACGACAACAAAATGGAAAGGCGGAAAGGATGAAAATGGAATTGCTCATTGGGTAGCCGATGTTCAATGCGGTGGCCGTGGTCCCAACAATAATAACGTCCACCCCAACCAACGTTCGACTGCGCAGGAACGACAAGTCAGCGCGGTCGCACCATCTGTCTCTGCGCCAGCCCCAGCTCGACATGCTCTAAATCCTAGTGCTTCACCTACACAACTACGTTCCAATCCCCACAACGATCCTCATCATCCTCATCCCCACCATAACCATCATAGAGCTCCGTCATTCGCACTCTCACCTCGAGTGCTGGCGCCTCCCGCTCTGTCCACACATCCCTCATTTGAAGGTCATGGTACGAATTCACGTTCGGAATTTGATTATTACTCTGGAGGTGATGATGACGATGATTTTGAGGATTTTGATGAGGATGTCTTGACGGCCTTTTCATCGGGGGTGAGCACCAGGACGACTACGACAACTACGACGAGTGTCAGCGGAAGTCAGAGAAACGGCAATCTTTCTTCTTCCACCAAGGTGAGCTTGGAATTTTTTCTTGGGGGGGGGAATGTGGAACCGTGGTGTTTTTTTTTTTTTTTGGTGGTTTCTTTTCCCTCCATTTCATTTCCCGCCTGAAGCTCGTTACTGATTCTTTTTTGTTGTTGTTCATTCATATGTGCACGGATAACTCGCACCCTGGTTTTTTTCCCCTTGGACCCTTGGCATGGACGCTCACCCTGGTTTCTCCTTGCCCACCCGTTCTTCTTTCGTCATTCACCAACGGCGTGTAACTGCAACTATGATGCCTTTTGTCTTCTCCTGCTTCTTTTGGTCAACGTAGATGAGCGTGAAGGATTCGCAAGTCACCGTACACCCGACTGCGAACCGATCCGTCCCACCTTCACCCGTCACCCCCTTCACTCTGTCCCCTGCACCCGCCTCTATCACACCCGCGCCCCTTTCACCTAACCTCAATACTCACACCACCCATCCCTCACACGCACACGCACATCATCCTCACCCCAACCCTCATCATCATTATCATCACCAACATCAAAATCCTCCGTCCGCACTAACGCAAAGGCTTTGGCCACCTGCTGCTACCAATGCTGGCGTTGGTAAGGGCGTGAATGCTAATGGTGGCGCTATTGCCCAACAGCAACGAACACGACGCAAAAAGACAACCTTCCAACTTGGAGGTTCCTCATCCCCGTTCGATTCTTCTGATTCAGAGGACGGGGGTTCGTGGTATTCGGGGTCTGACTCGGCCTCTGGGTCTGGGTCTGATGGGGACAGGCGGCCCGTCCCTCAACCTAATCATCATCATCATCATCAACAGCAGCAGCAGCAGCACTACTTGAATCCTGTTGGTCCGCAGCCACGACGAGGGGGGAATGAGACAGTTGGGATGAAAGTGATGAGTGTTTATGAAGCGGGGTTGAGTGATGAGGCTGTTTGGGCAAGCAGGGGGAGGACGAGCGGGAGGAGGTATCCTCCATCCCATCCTGCTCATCCTACTACTGCCGCTAGCACGGCAGCCAGTGGAGTAGCCCTCGTGCCTTCTGCGGGTGTTGGGAGGCGGGTGTTTGTATAGATGTGCCCCCTCTCCCCCCCCCCCCCCCCTTCGGCCTTGGACTCGAGTTCTCATTTTCGACTTTTCCACAATCGCCTCGTACTTCCTCTTCGACCTAATATTTCTTGAATATTTCTTCGTATGTTTCGACTCTGCCAAAAATGGTCCTCCCAAGTACACTCCCCGCTCTGCATTCTTCTGTATCACCACCGCCGTCGCCGCTCTCTCCCAAGTCCCAACCTATCAATGCCACCTACCCTTTCTACCGTGACCCCTCCGCCCTCTCATCGACGTTCCACATACATATCTCCTACTACTACTTGTTCTTTTTCCTCCACGCAATGCATCACAAACTCGCAACTGAAATGCCACTACGCAACGCACCCAAAACGATACCCGTTTCGTCTTGTCTGCTCCCGTTCCCGACTTCCCCCCCACTCCTCTCTCACTCAACGACCTTGCATATCTATCTATCGCTACTCAAACGACAACAAACACCATTCATGGTATTATACGGGACCGGCGCACGACGAAGGCGAGAACGTTCAAATCATTGCATGCATTTTTTCCTCCTCATCTTTTTCATTCTCTTCTCTTCCTGTCCTGTAATCCATTCATTTTTTTTCGTTCATCTGCATATTTCCATCTAGTTCCACGGGGTCACGATCAACACATTTTCCTTGTCCTGTATCTATGATATTTTTCGGCGATCTTTTCTCCTCTCTTAATTTTTTTTTGTCCCCTCCGCCCACCCATGTCTCGTGCCGAATTTTTCTTCCCCGTTCTAACTGTGGAACTCGTGGTGCTTTCGATGGAGATGTACGGATAACAAACAGCTTTGCGATCATAGAGCTTTTTTTTTTTCTTTCTCTTTTTTTTTACTTGACTCGACCAGCTATAACATGTCGTTCCATCGAAAACGAAATGGGAATTTGAAGTTTACGATAAGTGTGGGACTTGTTTGAAAAGGGTGTGAGCAAGCAGCACTGGGAGATTTACCCGCTTGGGGTGTCTGGCGCGATGATGTCGAGCCCGTGAATAACACTCGAGGAGCCCTGCGGCTTACTTACACTTGGGTCAAATTTCCGGAATGAAACTAGTCGCCCGAAAGTTTATTTCTTCTTCCTTTTCAGGTCGTCGGTCCTCTCACCAGTACATAACACGTATATAGCTGGGCTTCCGGCCGGCCAGATTGTTTTTTCGTCACCACACATATACCACGGGCATTTGACAATATATCCAGATCTCACTGCATGGGCGCCTTCATGGTTCGGGTTTTCTTTCGTGTTTTCGTTCCCTGAAGTCCGAAGGGGCGGATCCTTCGGCCGGCCAGCACAGATTGCGGTCAGAACTGTGGCAGTTACTCGGTATTATGCTTGCTTAAGGTCTAATCTATCGGCCGTACCGCAGCTCAGTGCAGTGGTTGATGTGCTATTGAGCTGGCCAAGTTAATAATCGGCCCGCATCGGAAGTCGGAGAACTCGAAGGACATTGTGTGGCATCCAAACTGGCTGCGAAAGCAGCTACTGGTACTGCATGCAAAGAACCCATACCAACACGGCGTATATTAACGTAATTGCTTCTTGTAACCTGTGGAATCTTACCGTTAATCTTGTTCTGTTTCTGGCATCAGGTTTCCGGATCTGTGCGTGCAGTGCAGTGCGTGCGTGTGTGCGCATGCAGTGTGTTTTCTGGATATTTAGCCTGTAAACTTCCAGGCTTGCTCCTGAGAGCGTGGTTGTGCTACTACGGGTGCCATGTGGCATGCAACTTACAGCAAGTGACAAGAAAAATCTGCACCGTGTCAATACAAATCGCTGTTTTCATAGACCGTGAGTCCTGAAGGAATCTCTTTCTTTGTTTTGCATGTAACACTCGACAGCAAATGTATCATAACATTATTCATGTGAAGTATGAAGGAGCACTAGAGGTAGCCCCGCTGGTGATTAGCGCTCATTATTTTATTCAACCAAATTGATCACCAGTCATCTGCGAATGCAATTCTCGGGTCGTCCCGTTCGGTCAAGGGTTTTTTTTGGGAGCATGAGTAACTGGTGTACGTCCGTTCGGGGCCGGAACAGCTAGCTGCACACTGGTTGCGTGTGTGCGTGTGTGTGTGTATGTGCGTGCGTGCGTGTGTGTGCGATCAGTCATGCATGCCGGTCGACTCGGCAGCGAAACGGAGTTTTTAGTTTTTGTAATATGCGGACAACTGCCGTACGGGTAGGTACGATGCAGGTCCGTCTAGCCCTGGCCAGTAGTTTGCCCCTGGGCCTGGCACGCCTTGGGCTCACGCATATAAGGGACTTGTACTGTACTGTGTGATTGGATTCTTCTCCGGGGCTTCTCGTAAACATCACTTGTTATGACTTACTATCTTTGCGCTGTTTTCAATGCATAGTAAGGGTAGTGGCAAGGGGTACAGCAAGCTTGGGAGCTCCCCACGTGCGCTCCCGAATAGTGTGTACATTTTCTCTTGAAATTTGTCCTACCACCAGCGACAGCTATGCATGGCCAGGGGAATTAATTATATACGTAAAAGATCCTCAGGACACCGTATTCATGGATGGTTTGAAATGGCCATGAAATGTCTGTGTGTTGTACGTGAATGATTGTGATTGCACTGATGCGCCCATACTAATCATTGAGATTTGGAACACCGCCGGTTGACTACCATTAACGCGAGACCCGCGGATGCGATTGGCGGCGGTGCATGCATCGTTGCGATATTGGATGTGTATACAGTGCATGGAATTGGTTCCAGAATGAATATGTCCATTTCAGGGTCCGAATCTGTCCTGGCAATTTCTTGACATCTGACATCTGGCAGCTGGCAACCATCCCACCGGTTCTGACGCTAAGCGTGGGGGGGGCCAGCCAGCTGACGTACTAGCAGCTGTTTCCAACAAAGCGTTTTTTGAGTTTTAGGAAATAGCTAAAGCTTTACAACTATCCATATCTTCTTTTTAAGCAGCTGCAGCGGGCTTTGCTCGAGCGAGGCTCGATCGAGCGCACACGTGGGCGGTGTGCATCACCGTATTACCTTCTGTATTGCACTATTCGCATGCAGTAGAGTCCGCGGAAACTAGTTATCGCAAGGCCTAGAATTACTTAAGGTCTTTCAATGATATTGTTATCTGGTAGGCCTGAGCCGATACCAGCATGACACTTCCATCCATTTGTTGTGGGATTATTATACAAATGGATCAAGAGCAACGGCAGATCCGGAATTCGAAGGCAATTTATCCGTATATATATGTTCCGAGGGTCTTGCGTGAGTGTGTACTGTTGTGGACGCGCCTTTTTTGTTTAGGCGTGTGAGTTCTAGGCTTTAGCTCGGTAGAGCGAAAAAGGATTCATGCGAAAGATTCGTACTACTAGGAGCTAGCTGATGTGGTTGCGATATTCAGTAATATATGAAAATGCCAATGTCGCGATTGATGGTGGATGATAGCGGCGCACGATTGAGGGTACCGGTTTTGCTTCTCGTGAGATCGGGGGTCACTTCAAAAACAATGATTTTTTTTTGGGGGGAGGGAACCAGCCGAGAGCGGTCGTGCGGGCGGGCGGACAGGCGTCCACCTGATCACAAGATCCCCATGTAAAGTTCACGCTCTATCTCGAGTGTGTGCGTGTGCGCGCCCGCAGTGGGCGAAAGAAGTTTGGTATTGAGCGCCGCTGAATCGTATATGCGTGTGTAAGATGAAAAGAAATGGGAAGCTACGGTCGAGTATGAATCTGAGAACTGATGGGGTTCGGTGCGGTGAACATGATGGGATGCTGTTGAGTTCGAACGCGAAGGTAGGTATATGGGAAGAGAGATGGAAGTCTGACTATGTAAGTATGAACAAGTCCCTTTGTGCGCGTGGGGCAGGTGTGCGCGCGTACGTGCGTGCTTGTCTGTATGTGTATGTGTAGACGGTAGGTATAGAGTACGTACATATGTACACCTGCCAACCAGCGCGTGGGTAATGGTGCGATGACGAGTTCAGGGAAGAGAAGCGGTAGTCGGCGCCCGTCATACGCATAGACAAAGGGAGTGTGTGGAAGCGTGGGTGCGCGCATGATAACGGAGTCGCTATGCCAATATACATTTCTGATCGATATCGCTTTTGTTGTACACAGATAATTCATTGTTTCTCCGCGGGAATCTGAGAGACGCCTTGGGGTCGGGGCCAAGGATTTTTCGGTCATGGTCAGGTTGGGTTGCAGGGGTTGGGGACTTGGTCTAGTGATCTTGGGGAAAACGTGTGGATGACAGTGGAATATCCCAGAGCAGTGTTGGATTCTTTAGAGTTCAATTCTGTGGTTATAGGTCCCAGGATTCCGTTTACCTGCACCTGTACAGCCTGGAGTATCAAGATACACGCCACTTCGCTGGCGTCAACCTGACTTGTTTCTGATCGATAGGTGAATACTTCAAGAAGAGAACATAGTGACGTCGTCATTGTTGTTAGCTTCCTCTTCTCGCGAGCACTAAGCGCCGCTGAAAACTACACAAATCAGCTCATACCTCGCCTCCGAAGAACAATGATGTGACCACGTTCTAGAACAGCGATTGCGTTAAATATCCACGCACCTCCGGATCAGAAGCGCATGTGATGACCCTTCACTGTGAAAGGCGAAAATTCATCAGTAACGGAGATGGAGTTAGAATCTGTGTTCAATCTCTCACTTCAGAAAATGCAACCTGAATGCCTGAGTATTCACGCCACTGAGCGCATTCGGTCGTTCGGCATGTGCCGATGAATGAGAAGCGAGCCCGGGAACACCAACATGGTAAGGTTGAACGACTTTCCGAGGCATTTCGCCTCACCCCTTGATTGCGAAATGGTCTCTGGGGCGGAGGTCAAAGGGGCTGTACTGAACGCGAGATGAGCAAGCTAGGAATTCATTAAAAAAAGGGTCAGTGGTCACGCCTGCTGTTATTCAGCAACGGACTCTCGCTCCGTCGGTAACGTATGGTCTAGAACCGCCACGGATGATATGTTCAAGGCAAACAAACACAGATCTAGCCATTCCAATGGAGGAATGGAGGGGATCTCCGGCTTCGCAAGTCTCCGTGCCCGAGGTAAGCCCCTTTGGAGGAACTTGAACTCCAATCCCAATTGACACTTTTTTTAAAGCAACAATAAGAGATCTGGATAAATCTGGCTATCCGAGACGGGATGGACGGATTTGGTTCGATCGAGGGAGAGATCCCCTTATCACAGAGTAATTGAGCGAGCCCTTTCAGGGGCTCGGGATAAAACGTAATATGTACGACCGAAAGGTTAGGGGTCTAGCCAGCCACTCAGATTGAGTTAAGTTCGTATAATGAAAATATAGGGCTAGTGGAGTTCTTCATCAGTCCAGCGTTATGGAAAGAAGACGGGGGTATGTGTGATAGCCTGAGGTTACATATTTGTACATGTTGAACTCGCGAGCGGCCTTAGGCAGCCGTAGTGCCGCTGGTAAGGACAGCAAGAAGCGTATTGTTTCGGACCAGTCAATGGGTATGCTCCATCCAGAATCACATGCCTGGGGTTGTTCAGCAGCTGTCGGTCCGTTGAGGGCACTGTCCACATTCTATTCCCCAGAAATTTTGTTGCTTTCTGTGGTAACGATGAATGAATAGGCCCGCAGTAAATAATCGCTGAATGCAATAGCCGTTTTTATTAAGGGGGCCAAAGGACTTGCATGGGAAAATCAAAGTGGACAACCAGAGTCCCCATTGTTGTTGGCTCTAGGGTCAGTGGTCAATTACCGAGAGAAGGCAAGTTTTCTCTTTTGGTTAGCGTCTTTGCGAAACCACAGGTCATCTCTGGGTAGTGCTCGTGTGCAAAATACGCATTGTTCGAAAGGCGTTTTGGTTTTTGGCATGACAGCAGCCCCCGATTCTTGTTCCCGCGTGTCTTAACACCAGCACCGGCCTCTGGCCAGTGATGAATATCACAGGACAATTAACGAGCCACAACTGAAGGCCAAGAAGCTCGCAACGCCTGGGCCGGCACATGAGAAGCACGTATACCCATGAGGGGTGTGCGCAACTTGGTCTCACAACGGGGTTGCATTTCAAAAGGTCATTTGAATGGGAAAACGGCAATTCCCCGCCACATGTCAACAAGAAAAGGATCACTTGCATCGGCGCATTCGGCCGAAGACATGCAGTCGTTCGCATCGCTGGTTCGTGTTACTGTAACTTGTACTTTCGCTTGTTGAACATGTGTTCAAGGTGGAGTTCGGCTCCGCTGCGCTGGGAGTCCGCCCTCTGGACTCTTTCCGCATCTAGAACGAACGCACAACATGAAAAAAATTTCAGGGTCGTGCGAGTCCTCACTTCTCATTATGGTTAAGATGGAATTGCGCTGGGACCATCAATGCCTGTCTCGAATGGTAAGGCGTGGGGTTTGTGTATTACTATAGAGGCTGGTCACCTGCCTAGGGTTTGTTGCGCTATCTTTACTCAGCTCTCGATGATTCGCCTAATGGTCACACTACCAGACGAGTCTGCGTATTATGTTGATTCCCTTGCTGTTTCGCACCACCGGGCCCACTTTAACCTCAGCACTCGTGCAGGCACGTGTGGATTGCAATGCATCGGGGGGAGCACGCAGTTTTGGTATTGCGTTCTAGGCACAAAACATGCGCTACGGTCTGCATTGACGTTCGACAGGACTGCAGGGTCACACCTATTTGAATGACATATCCCGAACTCCCAGCTGGGCGTAATTCCACGCAGCACTCTTCCATACAAAAGGTCCTTAAATACGCAGCCTGTGTTGTTCCTGCACATGGTTTGACATACAAAATGGCCTAGAATAAGCCAATGCCAGCTGGCGTTTACGCGAAACTGTGTAGACCTAATTTGGCAGGCCATGAGCCCTCATGAAGTTCGCCCACTCGGCTTCCTTGCAGATCCGGGGAAGCGCCCGTGCACTCATTCTGGCAGAGACTGGGCCTTTCTTCCACTTTTGGTTGTCTAGGAATTCGCTATCTTCGCACCTCACGGGATACAATCAACTTCGCAATATGATTAGCCACATTTGTTTTGCGATCCCCTGATAGTTAATATTGTTAATCTAATCTTTCATGGAGCGGCCTCAATCCCGATTACGTGAACACGAGGGTTCTATGGGATGATGGGATGGGTGAGCTCGGATGTCCCCCTTTCTTGGTTTCACCAGCATTAATCCTCTATATGGCTTTTTTGCTCGTGCACCGAGGACTCAGGTAAGCAATAGAACGGAGGATCGAATCAACTAAGCGACGACAATGATAGATCTGTGCGCAATGTTCACGCCCAAGTTTGCTCTTCTTAGATATCTAAGCAGTGAAATGCTTGTTATTTAGTATCTCGAAAATTGACCTGCCACGTAGTCTTCAACTTGATGGATGAAGGCCTGACACTGGATTATCATTCTTCAACCAAGCAGAAAGGACGCGAAGGCAGGCAGTTCGCGCGTCTCGTGATGGGCTGAGAGCTTCGTACGCCATGAGTACGACTCTGAACCTCGCTTCGACTGATCAGGTATCGGCGGGGCACGGGGCGCACCAGCAGTAACTCATCGGACCCGGATAAGTTTAATGCGGGAATTTTGCTGCATGCGCGCCTCTGCTGTCTGTGCGGCGGAGCAGCAGACCGTACCCATTCATCTATCGAACCCTTTACCCATATTTTAATTCAAACAGGTCAGTTGCCTGCGCCTTCTCAACGCCCCCACCACTGTTCGGCTACAGCCGAATGATTCGCCGCCACACTATCCTTTCCCCTAGTTCTCCACATGAGATGCACTAGTCTCTTTTAAGATACAGAGATGTTCCAGATATTCCCATACTCATGCGTCAATCGGCCCCAGATATTTACCTCACTTACAGTCTCGTTCACATAGAAGTCAGCTGTGACTTGTTCGAATCTTCTGCGAGCGCAGACTCCCCTCCGGGCTACTTTAGATCGGTATCTAACTCAGGTCCCTTTGTTGCGATGACCGTCAGAATCTCGTGATTCTGATTTGGTGCTCTATTAAAGGAAGCCAAACCCAAATTCAGTGCCGCATCGGAAGTGCAGAGTTTCTAGTGCCAGTATGTGTATACGCTAATTCTCTGATCTACATAAAAATGCTGAAGATAACGCAAAATCAGTCAGACACCGTGCATTTCCCAATTGGGATATTTGATGAGGGGCCCCATGACCCTCCCCTATCTTTGCTATCAGACAGGGTATATCTAATCAGCCTGGTTCGCAGCACTGCCAGTGATCGCTAGCTCTTGTTGACTTGCGAAATGAAAAGTCTCGCAGCCACATGGTTTGAGCAATATCTTCGCAACGATTTTTTGGCTTGATTGGTCACATCTGTTGGTTGCTCCACTTGGCTGGTCACATCACATTGAAGACGATAATGAACCCGTCAATCATTTCCGCTGAGCTGAATCCACTGCTTCGACATCCGGACAGTTCTGCCTCTCTATCTTCGATTAACTTTATGGCAGAACCCATCATGCTCACAACTTGATTTTGCCATGAACGGCTAGACCGCCGGCGATGATACCGCAGAACTGACTCTGCCATCAGCTAGTAGCACTCCCGCTTAAGCTTCTGATACTGGAGTTATGTCACCCAGCCGCTTCGTGCGGAATCTTCCGAATCCTGCTGGTGGTCGGCGCACTAGTAACCTCGCATGGTCCATCGAATGTGGAACCCACCCGATCAGCAACGGATGATTCCGCAGCAGCCGCACACGCATTGGGTTCGTGCGCTATCTTGGGCGATCCAATTAGCTCCTTCATTCAATCCATTCACCCTTTCTGATCAGCTGCTCATGAATGGGTACTAACTCGTGGTGACACCACTATTAGGGCGCGTTGACAGGCCATTGGAAGATAGATTCCAATGCGGCTAGCGTGGACACTCCGGCTTTCTACGCATGCGAAGCATCTGCTTTTATGGGTTACCGACTTTTAATACTCCCGACTTCTCTCTGGGTTTCGGTGTTTCAGCGTGTCCAAGTGCGCCGCGGACGATTTCGTTTTCCCTATGCGGCATGAAGCCGCCATGTCCAACGGTAAGAAAAGTATGTTGTGGCCTTAGGTGCTCAAGGAAGACATGCAAGACAGGCATGTCCTCGGTATTTTGTCTCTTTCCGCAACGCGACCAACAGGAGACGGGGCCGCTGGCTTATCTCCAGCATTTTTTTTTGCTTCTGTTGATCCCTTCGAGCCCAACTGGGACAGTTTCTGTTCCAGTTTGGCTCCGGTTAGTTCCCCTTGAACGAACAACTTCGGGGCTAGGGGTTAAGTTTTCAGCGACAAAGTCTTCAGAGATATATAGTCATTGCCTTGCTCCTTATGTGGATAGAATCTGTATTCCACTTTTGCCACTTGAGGAAGGCGTTTAGCTCATGTTGTGTTATGAGATCCTGGAACCTGACCAGCGGCGGGAAAGGGCTTTCGCTGATGCCATTCTAGTGTCTGCAGCATCAAACAACCCTCCTGGACTTTCCGTACTATTTTCTTGTTGACAATAGACTTGCTACTTAAGGGGGCTCATTCTAACCTTTCCTTGAATTACAAGGCTTCAGACCGAGGGAATGATGGTGCCGCTTGATCAAGAACAATGCTTTGCAACTCCGTATTTTATCGCGGAGTGGTGGTGTTTACAATCTTGAGATTTCCCTATTTACGGATGGAAGATGTTGGACTACCGCCCACCTGCGGCAACCACCAGGCAACCTTGCGAGAGTGAGAGGAAACTAGATGGCATTGGGGAAATATCCTCGGGAATTCTCGGAAGAACTGCTCATTTGGAACCCGCCTTGGCCCGCTAATGCCAACCACACCCGTCTGTCGCCATCACCAAAGTAAGCCGCATCGCGCTGTGTGCGCATGTCCATGGCTGAATATTCCATGTAGCTACAACCATCAATGTGTGAGAGTCGAACTATCATCAACTTCTGCCTTCACGGACCAGCTCAATCAAGGCTGATCCGGTGGCTACTTGATCAAATGAGCGCACGCCCATTCTTTATCAGAAGGCGAACTGGCACTCGAACTCGGGTCCGGATTTCCGATGGCGGATTCGAAAGTCACGACCTCCTCCTTGACTCAATCCAGCGGATCGGATGAGCGTTAGCTAGCCGGCCACCTGATCGATTCGGGGACCTACTTCCTTCGTTCCGATCCCCTTGGGGACTTTTTTTTGGGGGTGGCAACTTCTCCGAAGCTTCCCTTGACCTACTAGCGTCGCACGATGTCAAGCTTCCCACGATGCAAGATGCCAGACTTAATATTGGATATTGGAACGTTCGCGCGATAGAAGCTTTCTTGTCCCTGACTTGGGGGGGGGAGGGACCATATTTGTGCAACCTCACATATGTGGATCAAAGTATTGAGTTGGAACGCAACAACCCGATTCGTACCGAGGGGAAAGGACCGATCGACAGGACAGTGTCGATTCCTCCCCGCAAGATTCGATGTGGAAGTGTTCTATCTTTTCATGCATTGTAAGAAACGATCTCACAGATCTTTCTCTACATAATTGTTGCATGTTGCCTGGCATGGCTCGTGGCGCCGTGTGACTCTCACATTAGAGTTCATTGTCATGAAGAGCGAAGAGCGAGACCGCTGGGGGTTCCGTCAGCTTCGAACGTGGGACCCCAGCAATGGCAATGGCAACGGCAAGCTCGTTTTCATTCACAACTTTGTTGCCTCATTTAGGTCAACTAACGACCGGAATTAATTTGATAACACAAAAACCATCAAAAGCGACGCACGCACATCTTACCTCCACTTGCCAAGTTCAAAATCTCCCCTCCCCCCTTCCCAATTCATGAAATTGCGTGGATCAACTTCGGGTCGGATTGGGTATCTATGCATGCCATTGATTCATTATTTCCGTCTTGTCGTCAAGCTCACTCTCCAAGTTGGTCATGAATTTACTAACTGACGCAATACATAGTGTCGCGAACGTGCTTGACCTTTTTTTTTTTCATTCTTTCATTCATCACTGGTACCGATGGGGCCCCACGTTCTTTACATGCAGTTATTCTGTTCTGCTACTACTACCTCCGGCCCCAAAAAGTTGCAGACGACAAATGATGGTACCTAGCTCGAGACTTAGATGCCGAGGACCGGCTTTCTGTTTGATTCTACTCGCTCAAATTCCCAGGGGAAGTTGCGAAGGCGCATTAAAATAACACCGGATCTCAAGGAGCACGCAACCTGTTTGGGTCCAATCTATGTTACTGTGTAGGACGCGTCGTTCGAGAATCCTATTTTGATTCTTTCTCGCCCCCACGTACCCCCATGTACTATTTGGATCGGATTTCGATTCAACTTGTCCCTCCCCACAGATACGGTACTCGCTATGCTCACACACCGTTCCTTGACTTCCCTGACCGAACTTCTTTTTTTGGCTCGCAAAAACGTTTGTGAAAAAAACTTGGTCCGCGTGTCTCGCGCATGCATTGGATAGGTTCAGCACTCGTCGTGGGTTCTCGTCGTGGGTTCTTTTATGTTTCGGGTCTTGACCTCAGCTGCGAGGACTCCGAGGGGTAGCCCCTTCTATTGGATTAGCACAGTGGTGGGATGACCAGATAGGATATCCGATAGCAATTCGGAACGTACTTAGTCCGGTGTGAGGTTGACGATAGAAATACCAGAACAACATGGGTGCATGCTAGTACAGTGCCAGAAGCAGCCTTGCATTCGGTGCATTGTGGACTAATATGCTCAAATCCTGGCAGAAGACTGCCTTTTGCGTTTTTTTTTTTTTTTTTTTTCCTTTCCGCTCTCTCTCTGGCACATGCATGGCATGTTTATTCTTTCGACGCCGAGGTCGCATGCACTAGTAACATGCGTAAGATTCTGTGCATGCATTCGTATATTACGAAGTCCATAGAGGCTGGATGGAGTCGATCGTGGCTGGTGCAACCCCCGCTCGCTTCCGAGACGTACACTGACGTTACTCGAAACACGTCCGATCCAATTATTCCCTACCCTTGCTATTGGTCGTAACTGGGGGGGCTGTTCAACACAAGTACCTAATGGTGATTGTGGAAACGATTTCTGATCCAATTATTGATCAATGTGTAACCAATCATATCAGTAGTACAGTACTAAGACTACTATAGATGTGACGGGGGGGGGGGGCCATCCGTCCCACAGCCGTACTGGGCCTCCTATCGGGGTATAGTATACATGATGTTGATTGCTGAACTTCAATGTATGCATGTGCCCACGCCGCAGTAACGGAACGACTACTCGAGAATGGTAACGTTCTCGAAATGGAATAATGGAATGTGCAATTTGAGTGGTTCAGTAGAAGCGAAGCGAGCAAGCCTTGCTTGCTTTTGACCAAGTTGGACGAGGGAAAAGATCGACGGGTTCCGCCACGATTGATCTGCATGCATGCAGTACTTAATAGTCCCTTTGGTCTAGACGTTAGTACGAGGGAATAAGATCGAATGTAAGGGTCTAGTACAGAATCGATTGTCAGGCCGGGACCGGGATATAGTCGATAGATATAGATATGACCGAGGGAGGGGGGGGGCGAGAGGGGGCAAGATCAAATTGATATGATTATGGACTTGTTTACTTGTAAAGTGTTGCATGATCTTGCCTGGGAAGGGATCGAATTTTTATTCCTTCCATAGAGACATCGATGCTAGCTGGGTTAGCCATGCAAAGTGGTATAATGGTCAAACCTCGCAGTCGATCGAGTATGAGCTCAGGATCGGTACGTGCGTATAAAAGCATCTTTGTGCGTGGATTTACTTTGTGCAAGTGATATTGCCATGATGATCATCTTAGCGTTCACTCACAAAGGTCTCATTAGAAGTCGAAGTTGAGGAAGCTAGTGAAGGGAAGGTTCGGGTTCCTGACATCCGGAGCCATACCTAGTGTACTATAACCTGCCAGTGACTTTTATGGGTAGCATAATAGAGAAAGATATCGATTGCGATCGGTCGAGCACACGTACGTACGTCGTTCGTTCGGGTCGGATCCGCGCGGTTGTGCATCTGCATCGATTCAAGTACGTACGTGTGCTTGAGAGTTTTAATGATCGCTGGTTGGGGACTTTGTACTACATAGTACATACCAAAGTGCAACCTTTGACGAATTGAATTCACGATCCCATCCCCCTCGCGCTCATGCATAGCATGCAGTATGCATGGTAGGTGTGTGGTGTGTGTGTGTGTGTGTGTGTGTGATGGATATAGGTGCACGGCCGTCCCAACAGCAATTAGTATGTTAGGAACACCCCGTGATAATTCCGCAGCGATTGGAGCATATCGGATCCGGGTGGGCATGACAAGGCGATCAGCTAACAATCATTTGAACATACCTTTTTACTTGTCCGTTCGCTCCACATCCGACTCGTCCGGCGGAGGGAGGAGGGCTACAATGAACACATGCATTGAACATCCATTCATTTGAGTGTGTAACCAAAAAAAAATTGCGATCCCGGATCCCGATCCCGGCTCAAAGTTTCGCGGTTCAAATGGTCTTCGTTATTGCTTACGGTCCAGCTAGCTCCCTCGATCTGCCCAGGCTCCGTCCCCCTCACCCCACGCCAAATCTGAAAAACATTTCCCTTATCCTTACGCCGGCTCGTCACCACAATCCCCAGCCTGAGAGCGTGGCATGTATACATATGAATACATTGTGGACACGCCATTTGGAAGAATTGGAAGAATAGGAAGAGGTTGAAAATGGAGAGGCGGTGAATGAAAAAAGAAGCTCCAAATGAAAAATTGAAAGCGTTTCTTTTTCCTTTGTTACCTATCGCGGGTTTACCCCCCCCCCCCCTTCCCGGTAGCTCAGTTGAGCTTCGGTTTGATCTGTACGTCGGGATCGAGAATGGGGACCCTGATCGATTTTCAAAGGTTCAAATAGAATGTTCTCTCCAAACGTTCCCTTTCCCTGGGTGTTTTGTCCGTGAGTAAAAAAAAGGAACGAAACGATGGGTTCAAGTTTTGGCCCATAGTTAGTTGGGCACCAAGCACTGCAGCAGTTCCGTCGCTGCGGTGTGACATGAGAGGGAGCCCCCCGAAAGGAAAGGGATAATTGTCAATTGAGGGGGGGGGGAGTAGTTGGGGATGTTTCTTGTTCATCCGTCGAATCAGTTCAGCTTGCATGTGCATCATGAGTATGACGTCTAAAGCCGAAAAGAATGTGGCTAAGGCTTTTGCGACTTGGGGGGGAGGAAAGAAAAGGGCCGACCGAAAGAACTTCACGTGAAAAATAAAACAAACAAACAAACCAAAGAGGACCTTGACGATAGGCGAATGATCTGCAAACGGGGGAAATTACATAATTTAACGGTAAAACTTTACAGTAAAATAAACAGGGCTGCGAACTTGTTGTTGTTGTTGTCTTTTCACCATGTGTGTGCATGCGTGTGTCCTGCACGCGCGCCCTCACTTGGCACTTCTGAATTGATCGTGCATGTGCAACGAGCTGCATTGACGCGCCACGATATTGCTCTCTCTCTCGGGTTGTGTGGGAGTACCCGGTTTACCGTCTTTACTTATGACGTTGTTGGGACGCATGGTTGTACGAGATCCCCTCCTTTCCGGGTTCATCTCCCAATCCCCCCTTTTTTTATTCCTCAGCAAGCTTCTCTTCCCCCCCCCCCCCCCTCCATCTATCACTTCCAAATCTATACATACATATTGATGTGTGCATAGGCGTATATGCGTATAAAAGACTAAAACAAACCCGCTTCAAGAGATATCGTATATATATATATATATTCTCGATGGTAATGCAGCGCTGCACATTCCATCATCGGTAAATCTGTAACACGCGCAGGGGTTGGCAACTAGGTAGCTAGTTATTGTTACTTGCACGTCACCGCCACACCCCCAGCCCAGCCCAGCCCAGCCCAGTGTCCAACTTTTTTGGTCGAAAAACGGACCAATAATAATGACTTGGCTGTAATCGGGTCTATCAATCGCAATAACTATAGCTTCATTATCTGCGCCCTCTGCGAGGGGTTCTTACAACTTAATAGTAATGACAATAAAACAATAAGGGCTTTTTTTTTTCCTGGAGGGGATCTACACAGCTAGATTAGACACTAAAGTTACGTCTCCTTCCAAGAGTTTTTGTTTTTTTTTGGATGTATTATTTTCATTATATCGTCAAGTAATTGTATGGTTGGAGGTCCGAGGTTAGGGCGTGTGCTTAGTTGGCTTCGATCACGGAGGACGAAAGCTTTTAGAGGTACGTACATGCTGGAGGTTTCTTTTTTTTTTTGGTTGGGATTTGTAACGCATGCATTATGCCACGGGTAGGGTTTGGTGTATTTTCGAATATTGGTGGTTGATGTCATCGTAACGAATTTGGGGGGTGTGGGGAACGTGTGTTGTCGATCTGTTGGAGCCGATGGAGGAAAGCCATTGTTAGTTGGTTGCCCGATAATGCCAATAGTGACAACACGAGGCAAACACTATGTCATTCATTCTTTTTTTTTTCCACCCAAGGCAGTTGAGGGGGGGGGGGGGGGCACACGCGCAGTTTTGGTGCCTAGCATGCGCACACATACACACACGCGTGGGGCTAGTTGCTAGAAAAGGAAGAAAAAGCCAAGAATATATATATATAAGGACAAGCCCTGACAGGATCATTACCATCTCCTCAATTGAATGACGCGGCGCGGTGACCGAGCTTGAGCGCAATAAGTTTTACACTATTTGGTCCTTGTGCTAATGTAACAGCAAAAAGTTATCCTTCATTCATAACCCGTAACTCGGTAAAATTCTAAATCGTTCTCATAGTATCCAACTGGCGTTACCGTGGTTACACCATATTACGGAACCCAATTCGAAGCTGAAGCTGGCTGCTTTGCATCGAAAAGCGGACCATCAGAATGGCATGTGAAGAATAATAATCGTCAGGATACGCAGATCCGGGCTTGTACCCTCTCTTCGGATCCGATGACGCCAGTTCTGCCGATATGATTACATAGTCATTCCCGAAGCCAGTGCATGCCGATTCGATAAGACATGTACGTTACCCTGGCTGAGCTCGAGCCCTGATGGTAAGGGAGCCCCCCGCCCGGCTCCTCAGCGGCGGATAAGCGATAAATATTGCATATACAAGCGGCGGTTCACGTATAGTACTTGGTGGTCATTCCTACTCCATTCGGAGACAAAAGAGTCCCCGACTGATTCGGACTTTGCATGCGATGACGTTGGTATCCCTGTATGGCAGTTGTTGGCACAGGCGGTCCAAGTGCACAAAAGAAAGTTGGCGCGGGAGACCAAGCAAACTACCTAATAATAATAATAATCCTTGACCTGTGATCAGTACTCCGATCCGGACCCCATACACAGCCAGAAAGCTTGTGTGGGGCGGCAAATCCGGAATATATATGTGATAATGTTCATATACGAGTCCACAAGTGGGAAAGCATGCAATGCAGAAGAAAACTCTTTTTGTTCCCCGTTTCAGGAAGAAGTTCGACAACGCGCGCAAAGGAAAAAGTTCTCGTTATATATACAGTATTCAAATGGTGATGATGATGATGCTGATGATATTATCAGCATTTATACTAGTACAACTGCATGTAGCAGTCGTACAAATAGTAATCCAAGCACCATCGCTTATGGGCTCGACTTGTACTTATCGGTACTTGCGCGTATGTATGTATGTATGTATATATGTATACTAAGTCGGGGTTTTTTTTTTTGTCACAGAACACTTGTAAAGTTGAAGCCGCGGGTGCGCGCGCGGGACTATAGTACGTACGTTAACGCACACACGCGCAATGATCAGTGATTGGGGATTCTGGATTCAATGAAATTATTGCCAGATGCGCCCTCCCCCCCGCCGCGAAATCGTTCGGAACTATCAAGGCCCTCAGTGCATTCCTTGTTTATTATCATTCAATACAGAAGGCTGTACGTGTCGGAAACTCAGCATGTGCAGGTGCGCAATATAATGCTCCGAAGCCAGTGTCGTGGTGTTGCGCCACTGCATTCCAAGTGTGAGAACGCGCAACAGCAACAAGCTCGACATCCTGATACGGCAGCTGGCGTGCATAATGCGTTTGCGTATGCGAGCGTCGAGACGGTCAAATACATTTGGTTCCAATGGGGATTGTATTGTACTGTCCGCCAGCTGCTACGGTACATTACACAGGCCTACTAGTACCCACGCAGCATTGAATTGAATTCACTAATAGCCGATGAAAGCTATTGTACCGTTTATGGCTCGTTGGACATAGTCGGAAGCCATGGTTCACCCTGAGTGCCACGGCACGTCAGACGTGTCACTATACTATTCCGAATCCTGTCCTACTAGTATATACGACCTGACCCGGGACGTTGGGTCATCGGTGAAGTCCGTTGCAACCACCAAGTATACAGTAATAGCACTCAGAGGACTAGATCTTGGAACTTTTTTTTTTCTAGAGGGTGTTCGCGCGAAATGAGGGGGGTTTTCGTACGATCGAGTACATATACTTACATAATCTACATTTATATCTATGGCCCCATCCTCTGTCATATCCAGAATTAACATTAACACCTGGGCACGAGGGGTCCCCAATTTTTATTTATTTATTTTGCATTCATTCAACAAGGAGTTGAAGATCATCGAAATAAGCAACACCGTTCAAGAGTGCAACTCTGGCATTTCCCTTCTGGCTACCAAGACGTAACCCCCTCTACATAACTAACTGGCCAGGGTGCATCGAAGACTGTGCTTTACGAGTTTTTCAGTGTCAACGTCACATCCGGCCCGGACTCGCTGATCCTGGCAAGTTGGATCGGCTAGTTTCTTGCGCAATGCAGGAAATGACGAGTATGGATCACTCTTCTTACTCAGGAAGAGGAAGAATGGCTTGGATTCCAACGTTGAAGCAGTCCGAACGCCGCAACCCTGATAGGTGTTGCGAAATCTTGAGTATGTAAGGTAGTGTATATATATAGCAATAGCGACTGGGGGGAGTCTGATACAGACAGAGGTAGCCTTGGTGCTGGAGTTTCGGGGAAGAACACCCGAGCGTCTACGCAGAACCCCTTCTTGGGTGGAAAGGAACCACCGGCCATGGCACGAGGCCACCCTCTCCCCCCCAGAAGAAAAAAAAAAGAGAAAACCCTTCGATCGTGGCAGGGACTGGCCCCCCCACGTGTGTGTGTGTGGTGTGTGTGTACGCCTGTTACCAAAGATAATATGCATATTGAGAACGCAAAATAGTAGTACTGCTGCCGTAAGCAAATACCCTTCTGCGTTGTTGTGATGATGATGATGATCGTTGTCGAGCTTTTGTCCGCGCGTGCTGAGTGAGAGATCGATATACATATATATACATGCACGTGCGGGTGGGTTGAACAGACTGCCTAGATGCACTAGTAAGACCCTGTAAGGCCGGCGGGCCCAGGCCAGGGAGCCTGGTCATGCATGTCATTACTACCGTGTACAGTTATTACCTGCATATATATACGCAACGCATGCATGCAGGGTTCAAGACGAGCATGATAGTGCGCGCGTGCTGACACTGGCATGCATTGCACGCGTACGTTGGGTGGTACACCGGTCCAAGGTGTCAACGCCGCAAGCGCGTCATCAAGATCAAGTCAGTTAAACGAGTTAAAGGGCCCTCGAAATGTTTCGGCCCAGCCAGTACTAGTAATTCCAGTCGATGAACTTGAACGGTTCAGAAGTTGTGTTCAGGAAATATATGTCCGAAATGCCAGATCTGTCAGAATGGGTTCAGTTAGCTTATAGCCACCTATCATGGCCAGCTTATCGATCTATAGCTTAGTAGTGCAATTCACCCCAAGCAATCAGCGACCCCTCGATGATAGATAAATATGTAAACGTAAAAAAAATTGAAGCTTGTTTTGCAGAGTAGGGTTCTTCCCGTGTAAATTACTTTATAATCGGTTACTGGCTGTATTGGACAGTCAGTAAGGTCAGCGCCACAGGGTATGAAATATATGGGTACTGGCTTGAATAGTAGGATTAGGAGAAATGGATATGAGAAAAAAGCGGAAGCCACTCATTTGGAGGGTTGGAGGGGGGGAGTCGTAAAGGGGAACTATAATATATGGTATCATCAACCCTCACGATGGGAAGGGGAAAGATAGGGGAAGAGAACAAGATAGGATAAGATAATAAACCCAGGGGCCAGAGGGGATACCAATCCTTAAAGTTCGTGGTGTTGGACCTTCTTCAAAGATAGTTTTGGGAAAAGCCGTGCATGTTCAGGGATCAGGGATCAGGGATCAACATGGGATTGTAGTACGTGGTGGAATTGGAACACTTATGCGTCGGCTAATCTGCAAAGGATTCGAAGGGAGCTACATAGGTATATCCAATGCCGTGTTAATGATGCGTGAAAAAACAGTAGCGACCGAGTAGTAGGAGTAAGGCAGTGCACGAGAGCCACCATTTTTGGATTTCATGTGCACGCGAGCTAGCTCTAGCTCCGTCCCCCGCCGGCCCACGCCTTGCATGAGTTCCCCAAGAGATTAGAGATAACTGCCAAATACGAGGAGTCCATGTTGCGATAAGCAATTGAACAACCAAAGAACTGTGTTTACATCGTTCGCTAAAAAGGGAGCTGGGGTTTGAAATCAAACAAGTACTTGGCGTGTTTTTTTTTTTCTTGCTACTTGTTCGGATGTGTAGATTTATCGACCCGGCGCCTGATAAACCGCTAACTGCCCTGGCGATAGGAGATAAGTCTCCGGGTTTACGGGGTTTGTGGTTTTTTTTGGGGGGGAGGGGGGATGACGACATGGTGACGTCATGTTGATGTGTAAGACTACATATTTGGATCCATAGATTGAGCTCTTACTGCGTAGAAAGGAAGGAAAGTACTACTCTTCCTCTTTGCTCATCAGGCACAACCTATATATAACCCCAAGGGAAGAGAAGAGAAGCTCGTGATATTGTTGTTGTTGCTGTTGGTTTTTTTTTTTCGTTGTTGTTTTTGTTGTTGTAATGAATCACGGAATAGATGGTTTAACTGGTGGAATGATCATCCAAAACACGCCCCCCCCTTGAGCGAAGGGATGCATGAAGGGAGGGGGTTCTAGACTTGAGAGATTTTTCTTCTTTTCGAGTGGGGGGCGTCATATACGTATTGTACAGTTATGTAGTAGTAGAGAGGTGGCTGCAATTTGCGGTCAGAACGTCCAATGTGTGAGGCCGGTTCCCCCTTGGTCGTTGTTTTTTTTTTTGTCCGTTGTGGTTCCTGAAGGATCTCTTTGTCAGATTCCCGCTTTGTTCTTTGCATAATATACCTATCATTTTCTGTTGGGGAACGCACAACATAAACAGAACATTGAACTTTCGGTTCGATTCGGCACAGCTGGTGTTTAATTGTTGCAAGTGTCTCTATTACCATTCACCTTTTCGTCCGCCCGTTCTTAAGAGTTGGGAGATATAAATATAATAATAATCAAACGATCAAGAACCGGCCGTATTATGGAGACTGGGGCCGCAAAAAAAAACATCCGTTGGATGTTGATGTTGTGGTGTGAGTTTGTCGAAGTGTAGATCATACTCTGTTTAGAAAAAATCGCGGTTTTGGGGGGTTTGATTGGAATTCTTTTTGCGTCACAGCCCAACAAAATTGCGCGCGCGAGTACAGTTACGGTTACGGGTACAAAAGATCAAACGAATGGCGGAGAGCTCTTTCGTGTCGAAAAATGAGGATCGGAGGACCTATTTACAACATACCCACGACGTCATTTTATATTATATATTTTTCTTTTTGGAAGAAAACGCAGCAAGAGCGTAATCGTTTTATACTTTTTTGGAAGGAGATTGATGAATTCAAAGGGATCTGGGTTGTTGTAAGTAAAAGGTGTGGGTATCAAGTCGGAGTTGTGGTGGGTAAACGCGAGCTAGAGATCGAGGCGAACAACGGATATCGGACTTCGTGTGGGTTTATTAATTGCCATTATTCGCTTTGTGGGCTTAGGATGTATTGTAACTAGGTAGCTGCAGCCGGTGTATGGGCAAGGAAGAGTGGTTTACGTTGATGTTGATTCTGTTCAATAGGGTTGGGGGCAGAGAGATTTTTCCTAGTGGAGTTGAACATGCAACCCCCCCAAGCGTTCATTTGTATTGAATCTCGGTGGAATGCATTGTAATGTAGAGCTGAATGCGTAGGTCCGCCACCTCCGATGCGCATACAACCTTGAGGGGACCATGGTGTCGTACATAGGAGGGGGCGATGAATGATCATGTGTATGGTAAGTGCAAGTGGCTACTCTGATCTTCTCGGCTCGAGACTCAAGTAGTACTGAGGGTATTCAGATATCACTATCCATATATACTGGAAGCCTCGTAGGCTTAAATCGCGCTCGAGTTGATTAACTGTATGATCAAAGCATGCTTCCATATGCGGGGTTGGAAGCGTTTGATCGATTGACCGTACAAGGCAAGCTAAAGTTAGGGGGCAAAAGGTTTTCGTACAGCACTAGCTTAGTAGTAGTTGTAGGGTTTTCCCAAGGGACTTGTGAGTTCAAGTCCCTCCCCCCTTCCTTACGTATATGGTGGCTTGAAATAAGATGATGGTAGATAAAATAACCCTCAGTGGCTAATTGAACTCACCATTTTAGACAAATCAAAGGTGGTAATAGGACATATTCGAGTGTGCCACAGCCGCGCGCACCCACGCGCACCCACGCGCACCCGCGCACCGCGCGCGTTCCTGGCTCTCGTTCATTCGAAGATAAGAGATAAAAATGGAAAATCAGATATCTTGCTGTACAAGCGGGATCAATCCAGCTAGCTCAGGCGTTATGCATGGCAAGATATATGCGCGCGATACGTGATCAATTCCTGCCTGCGCCTGGCGTTGAGTTGGATGGGTATGTAGATAAGGTAGATAATAACTCTGTTAGCACATGATAGCCTTTGCCAGGTACGACAAACTCTAGTGCCGCAGAAGAGATTTATCTAGTCGAGTATTTCATTGTAGTTTGTTGGTGGTTGTGACGCTCGTTTCAAAATTGTAACGAAGCCTTCTCCGTATAGGCAGTTTAAAAAGGTTACCACTGGCGTTTAATGACCACCAGTAAGTTTTGCAGAAAGTGAGAGAGACGTCCTCAGTGCTTTCAATGACCGTTTCCCCTGGGTTTTTCGGATTTAAATCCCGCCCTTACACGTGACCTCCCGCTGGGATCATCCAACTTAAATCGGTCCCCCCCCACTGTAACCGACGCTTATCGTTCGTCGTAGTTGACCCGTTAGACGCCCTTTTTTTTTTTCACCTCCGTAAACCGAACTAAGAAGCGAGCTTCTCCATTTTGCATCTGGCCTTGTTGATCTCTCTGGGAAGTTGAACAAAAAAGAGAAAAAAAGGGAAACAACGATGGGATTCCGACATGCTGGCGTTTTAGCAGCTCTTTCGTTTTTCTTAGGTAAAGTTTTTGTCTCTTCAAGGTTTTTTATTACAAGGATTAGTTCTTGTCTTCATCATCTCGTGAAAACTTTTGCAAGTCGCGTAACTGACTCACTGGGATTTTGGGGGGTTGGATGTCGAACAGGTGTCTTGTTCATTGCTTTCAATGTGGATAGACGGATATTATACAGTGGGGGTGTTCCTACAGAGGAAGATTATGCCGATGCGTTCAAATTTTACACGACGTTTTACGAGGCCCCGTTAGCTATCAAGGTATGTTCATTTCTCCCTCTCTCCGTGTGTGATATGGCAAATTTTAATTTTTATAATGTGTCGTTCTACTTTGGTGTTTCCTTCCTAGGCGCTGCTGCACGCTGTAATGGGAGTTGGCGTTCTATCCCTCGTCGGGAAGCTACACAAATGGGACGAGAGCGCTCTGTGGTTCGATGGAACATCTCTAGGCACGTCTCTTTCTTTCTTTCTTCTCGTTTGGACAACGGCCTCTTTCGCTAACGAACAAAAGGACCTTTCGTTTGAACGGAAAAAAAAAAAAAACACACCCACTTTTGGCCATAATAATACGCATATATTCAGCCCTCTTCTTGGCAGGAATCATCATTTACCTCTCTGTTACGATTCCCACCTTGCGAACGATCGTCAATCCTTTACCGGTAGACACCATTCAAGATCAACGTGAAGCGATCGGCGTCCTCGCAGCTGGAAACACTCTCATTATCTTATCCCTTTTTGGCGTCTTGGCACTTCAGGTACAGTTTTCCGACTTTTTTTTTTTTTTGGCCCGTTGCCCTCTTTGCTCCCCCCCCCTCTCGTTTCTCTTCGCATGAATGAAGAGTTCATGCCAAGAAAATGAACTTCCCCTTCTCCAACTTTTTTTCATTGTCTCACATCATTTCTTCATTTATCCCATCCCATGTCAACTTCCCCTGTGTGTCGTATTCCGATACCCGCTCACGCCGCAGTTCATTTCCGTATCGTTCTGACCCTCTTTTTTCTCACATATAATCACCAACCCGTTGGCGCGTGCAACAATCTTACATTCCCCCCCCCCCCCTCAAAATTAATAATTCGCTTACCCGACCCGATGCGACCGCGACTTTTCTCTACCCACCCCCATTCATCTCAACCTCAACCATCGATCGAACAATACCAACTGACTCAAAAAAAAAATCATTTCCATCACATATCCACACTCGATCATTACGACCAGGCTGGCCAAGAATACGCCAGACGCGCGGACCTTCATGAACTTTCCAAGTTACAACAACAACAACAACAACAACAACAGCAACAGCAGCAGCAGCAGCAGCAGCAACAGGAAACCAAGAAAACCAAGTAGCACAAGTAGTTTGTTGTATTCATGGCAGAGTCGTACAAACATGAATCAAAAGCGGTTTCCAAACACACACCACACGCACACACATGTAAAGCTTCATTTCCTCCCTTTTATGGCTTATCCCCCTCCTACACTGTAACACACTTCTCCATTCACTCTTGGTTTGCTTTATTTGCTGCTCGGTTTTCTTTTTGCTCTTATTAATTTCTGCTTTTTTCTCTGCGTGTAACGTACGACTCCCCCCCCCCTCTCCCACCATTCCTACCTCTTCTGTGTGTTTTGTGCAATACAGCTCGATTGTACGTGCATCCAGCGCAGCGTGTCATTATTATCAGCCGCAAATCCGGATGGTGTGCGTCCTGCATGTATATATATATATATATCGAGTGTTTGCACAGATTGCGCATTGTCTTCCCGGGTTGATCGAAGGCAATCTTTTCTGATTTATGACCGCTTAAGAAAAAACACCTCCATTGTCCGTAGGCTTGGAATGCCGCCGGTGAAATGAATAGATAGGACATGCTTGAAAATCGGATCTGAGATAAAAGCTGCAAATTAGATACAAACGCAATACGGATACGTGCACAAGAACAGGAACAATGACAAGGAGTGAGGCCAAAACAAGCCAGTAAGGCAACAGTAGGGACAATATGAATGCGAGGGGAAGTCATGACCAGGTGAAGTTGGCCCAGGGAGAAAGAATAAGCAACGCCATAGATAATAAGGCGAGAATACGGATGATCGTAATGAAGGTATTGTAAAGGATTGAAACAAATATACCAAAAGAGAATTGGAGGGGGCAACCAATCAAGGACGATAATTAAGAAAGTCAGCCATGAACAAGTAAACAGTTGGAGAAGGAACCCGGGGAGGTGATTGTGCGAGTCATGATGATACAAGAATTAGACCCTTTGTGTAACCAGCACCCACTGGGTGCATCTGTCACACTCCGGAGAGAGTACCTGTTGAGCGAGCCTCAATGAGCATCCTATATCCCCGGTAACTGGATGGGGGATACGGCTCACTGTATAATTTGGGATAAGAAACTTTCAGCCGGTAGGAGAATCACTGATCAACATCCATGCTCTTCCTCATGTCATCCCCAGTCTCCGTTTCGTTCCCACCTTCGCTTCCGTACTCGCTCGCTGCCTGGGTGGAAGGGGATGGGGAACGGGTGGTCTGCCTTGAGGCAGAGTAACTAGCGGAAGTCGTAACGCCACTGACAGCCACATCACGCTGACGATCGGGTTCGTAGGATTGCCGGTGGCTGGGCACGCAGGTACTGTTGGAGGCAGGAGTAGGGTACGTGGCGGAGAATTGCACAAGAGACGACGTAGGTGGAAGTGCTTGTTGCTGTTGGCGTTGGAGACCGAGTTGCTGAAGTCTGAGAAAAGAGACACGGAAGTCGTTTGTGGCTTGGAAAATTAGTTGAACGTGAATGACGTACCGATCGACCCATGCCTCCGCACGATCCAAGCTATCTTTGAATACGCCTGTGACGCCCCTCATCATGTCCAGACTTTCCGTAGCGAGAGTCAGCACACGGGTGGCAGCCATCGTCGCCGCGCTCCCGCTTAGACCCTGTCCATTTCTTTCGAACCCGCCGTACTGCCCATTCGTCTCGTCCAATCGCAATGCATTCGCCCATCGTTCAGGCAATCTCAATATAAAACTCCTCACGGTGTTTCGCGCTTGTTCAGGCAGAGCACTACCGGCGTATTTAGAGACAACATCCACCACTTGACGGATGGTGTTAATGAGCTCCGTTTTTATTTGGGAAAGGATGCCTAAAGTTTGGAAAGGCACGACAGCGTTGGAGGTTGAGCTTGAAGCGAGATTTTGTGGTGCGATGGAGGTGATGAAGGAACGGATGACGAGGATTTGTTGATCGATGTGGGCATTGGCGTACTGGATACGAGATATCAATAATCTGATTCTACTGAAACCGAATCAATGTGGCGTACCTGAAGCCATTGTAGGCAATATTTTAAGCGCTTCATGCTCTCTTCACTCACAGCAGCACCAATGCCCCCGGCCTCCAAGAGCACCGCTTGCCATCGGCTACGGCTTACAATTTGCACTTCCTGGCTCGAAGATTGCTGCTGCTGTTGCGCGATAGTATTCCAATATGAGTCTCCAGAGTAGCGAGAGCTCGAGGCATTTGCGACGTCCCCCGACATGTCCCTGTTACCCACACTGGATTCACGAGTTGGTGATTGCCTCGTTTCATTGTCGAGCCATAAATGCTTTCTCCCTCGTTGTCCCGAACTACCTTCCGCCCGATTTGGACTGCCACTATCAATGGGAGCTTCGACATGCATAGGAGACGACTCCTCTGGCTTCCCACCATATCGACCAAAGCGATCAAGCTGACGGCACGCAAACTCGTCGAATTGATTAACGGGTAGTCTATCAATGACAGGCCGTGTCATGGTTTTGACGGTACCCTCCATCACCTCCGCACCAAACTTGACCACTCGGGAACTGTTCTTGGCGTAGTCATACGCTCTTAGTGCAGGATGGACAAGCGGGAGGTTGGACATGCGTATGAGCAGCGTATCATCTTCCGCAAGGTTAGAGGCGGTGTCCGATATCGTCGACCTTGAATCAGACGAGGCCAGCGAGAGGGACGGTGTGGCCTGGCTTGAGGCTTGGAGTCGCGGGAATTGTTTCAGATAACGAGATAGACTATGCGTGGGGTAATCCACTCACTGGGCTGGGAAAAATCACGATAGCGGGGATCAATAGGCAAGGCAGGCGCTACATCCGTTGGCAGGGTATCGAGGGATTCACGCTTCACGGGAGTTGATACCGCTCCATTGCGCATTTCGCCAAGGGCACTAACGGCTATGGCCTCATCGTCTTCCATGGTCCTTTGATGGGCACCGTCGCGCATGGGGGCGGCTGAATAGAGACGGATGGAAGGAGAAAGAAAGATTTTAGCAACGAATGCTCAAAATTCACGTTCGAGGTCCGCCCAAAGTGACATGTGCTCAGGCTCACCGGATGTTGCCGAATCACGAGCTTGTGGGAAATTCATTTACCAGCTCTTTCCGCGCGCACCGGGGGTTCGCGTTATTCATGCTGCCTAGGTACGCCCGCGGGCGGCGATTTTCCCCTCTTGGCGTCCACAGGAGACTGTTTGCATTACGGCGCCTCATTATAGCTGGCCTCACACTCTCTGGTACTATTGGGCTATTCAACCTCGCTACGTGGATCCTTGATCCTCAAGTAGTCCCGTATCCAGCGAGTGAATGCTTCGACATGGCGGGTTCCAAGGACGATGGATCATTTGACCAATTATTCATTCACCCTCGCACTGGCGTGTCTTATGCGGTGTTTCAGCAGAAGTCAACCAAGCCGATGCTACGCCGTGATAAGGATTTAATGACTTCTTTCGACCTCTCATGGGCCCGGGACCCCTCTGGAAAATTGGGGCCCCTCACTTCTCAATGTCTTAATGACCATTTTGAGCACGGCGAGACATCATGCTTTAGCAATACTGGCCCTAAAATGGACGTCGTGTGGACATGGGTGAACGGTTCGGACCCGCTGATTCGAAATGATATGATCGAAAAAGCCAAGGTGTACCACCTAAACCCATATCACCGAAAGCAAAATCATGGAATGAAGACGAATCAGTACCGGTGAGCACCTGTGCTTCCGTAACTCTGGCTTAGTGTGGACAGCGTTGCACTCTTAGAGATCATAATGAATTGCAGTATTCCATGCGCTCCGCTTATGATCATTTTCAAAGCCAGACCAGAAACCTCTATATCGTCTCCACTGATGTGGAGGCACCGGTTTGTCATAAAAATGGCTCCGTGGAGCGTTGGCGGCTCGGCCAGCTTCCCTCGAGCATCCGTCAAAATTCCCGGATTTTCTCATGGAATGGTAGTCAGCATGAGCTACATGTATTCCATCATGGGCAAATATTTACTCAGCCCAATGGGTCTAATTACAACAGTCTTGCAATAGGTGAGAGTGGTGCTCTGCCTTTTGTTAATTCTGAGACTTTGTATGGATAGAATCGCAACTATATAACATCCCTAACTTATCTGAATATTTGTAGGTCAAGTTTCCGAGTACGTGATATTGACCTAATTTTTTTCCCCGTTTCTAGTATTTACATGGTGCGCATTTTTTGTTAAACCGCCGATGATGAGTTTATATGTCTTTCTCAAGAATGATGATACATTCTTCCTGTCTAATTTTGAGACTTTGGACTTCTACACGGATGGTACGTATATCTCGCAAGTGATGGGATGCGAAATGCTAAGCCTCTCAGCTTTCGGCATTATCGTCAGGATGCAATCGGATTTACTGGTAAGTCCACATAAATCCCCTGGTCGGGGTTCAGATGAATGGAAGGGGCTTGAATTCTCCAATAGCCTTTTAAGTGAGTGTTCTTACGAATTATCGATCTCTTGACTCATGCAAGATTTATTCACTCACCAGGCGGCAAATTTGGTGAACGCTGGCGTCCCTATGGTTCGCACCACGTCAAGGTTCTCTCCACTCCCCTCCTGAATGAGATCTCCCTCATCTGGTCATCTGAGATTCTCCATACCGCTGCTCAACCATTCCGCAGCATCCTTAATAGTGAAGGCGACTTTTACATCATGTGGCTTTTTAGCCATTTTGTCGTGGAGAGGTGGAGAGAGGCTTTGCTTTGGAGTTGGGTTGTTGGAAAAGTTGGGAAGAAGGACGGGGGCTGGGACGAGGAATGCGCAGCGAGGGCTTGGAAGGAGGTGGGTGGGCAAGAGGGGGAGGCCAAGCTCGGGGTTCTGAAGGGGAAGAGGGAAACATTGAAAAAGGAAAAGATAGAGGATATTAGGAATGATGAGAATTTTCCGCCGAAGACCAAGTTCGCATTTGGTGCGTGCGCGCATTGTAGTTAAATGTTTGGTGTTGATCGTCACTTTCTTTTGCCCAGCGGCTTTTGATGGCTATCCTTACGCTGGTTTTGGAAGGAGAGGCGCCATGTCGTGGTTCTCTAGCAAACAGTTTTACGATCCATCGGAGCGCTGCGTGCTTGAGTTCAACGACTGTCTTGCCCCTGTTCATGACGGCCAAAAACTTAGATCGGAAGGCGTCTTCAAACGCGTCGCGTTTGAGAGAGCACAATCTTGCGGTGATTGCAGTGAGTGACCTATAGTTTTGCTGTCATTGGGTGAGCTCAAGAGGGCGGACTCTCGTCCCCAACTTACGCAGTCATCACTGCGCTTGTCAAAGCAAGCGGTCCTCTCGGTCTCTCTGCCTTCTTGCCTCCGACTAATCGAACATTCGAAACCTCAAGGATTATTCTATCTGACGGGGATCAGAGAACCTCCCACGTGCCAATGCTCCCGTTGACGAAGAGATGGAACATTTGTGATTATAGCTTGGAGAATGTTCTCGCGCCATACGCTAGTTCTCAAGAACATATTAATATCCGTCAATGGATATTACGTCTCTTACTCAGATATCGCTTCGTTATAGGTGCGGTCAATGTGACTTTGTCCAAGTTGACTTTGACTCGATGCTGTCAACAGGGGTGACACCTTCCTCGTTTCGCCGACTAAAGAACCCTCAACAAGCTCGGTCGGTGTTGTCACTGATCCCGGATCGCGATGATCCTCAAGCAGGCCTGCTTTGTCTCAATGATAATGTCGGATTTGGAGATCTCATTGTTGGCAATATCATGGCCGAGTGGATGGCTGAGCGCTGGTGGACACCATCACCTTGGGAGCTTGATTGATGAGGATTAAAACCTTATGGCAATTGGCCCGGAAAGCAGTCGTAACAATAGCTTATGTTCGTAATGGGAAAGCATTGTTTCACAGGAGTTTGAGTTTACAGAACAAACAATACTGCTGACAGAGCTTAGTGAAGTGAAGATATCTGACCACGGATGAGGCTCAAGCTCACAATACAACTCCATTCCTCTGCAGTGTACAGTGTCAACCCTACTGTGGAGGAAAGCTAAAAGCACAAAATTAACCAGATTAACTTAATATCATTACAGCCAAAGCTCACCCAGGTGGAGGTGGCCCTCCCATTTGTGGCATACCAGGGAAACCAGGCGGGGGAGGAGCGCCCGGGAATCCTGGAGGACGGAAACCGGGTGGAGGTATTCCGGGAGGCGCTCCCATTGGGGGGCCACCGAAGGGACGAGGAGGAGCCAGACCACCTGATATGGAGGAGATGCAGTCAGACTCTGTGAGAAAGGTATGCCGTGAAAGAGCGAGTTACCTGGGGGCATCATGCCTATACCGCGTCCTGCAGGCATTCCACGACCAGGTCCAGGCAACAACTGTTTCGATCGAAGAATGTCAAGCCGGAAGTAGCTTGTGAATACCATTGGACGTACAGTAGATGCCGCCTTGTCTTCATCGGGAACAGGGGGAGGGCCCTCGACACTGATGCTGACCACAACCTCTCCGCGAATGATTACAAGCCCGAGCGTTCTCTTCATTTCTTGTGGAGGAAGCGGCTCGCCCGATTCCGACTTCTTTTTGCTTCGAACACGCCGAAACTCTTCACAGTCCACGATAACGAGATTCATATGTCTGTCGAAAGCAAGCATCTGACCAACGAGTGCCCGACCATCGTTCAGGGTGATTTTTAGCCTCCAGTGGATGAGACCTTGCATCTTGCCTCCTTTTGCTTTTGGGGGCGGCTACGGTAAGGGATGTCCATGTTTGAGAAATCCAGAAATGCTCAATTGTTGAAAGAAATCCTCGTACCATTTTGGCGTCCCGTCAATGACTGTGCGAGCGAGAAACTGCTTTTGAATTGGAAAGGCAAATGCCGGTAAAATGGAAGTATCGGCACTAAGCACCTGGCGCTTGCGTATCTGTCCTTGGGTAGAAACATCTCTTCCCGTGATGTTCCGAGTGTACCTAGCCGCGCGCCTGCGAGTGCAGTGTCGCACATTCTCTGTTTCATCATTTCCGCGGCGCTGTCCTCGGGAAGGACGCACGCTCAGTTCTTACCGACTAATCCCTCGCCTGTCCCATTCTAAGGGGACCTCGACCTCTGTGGCAGAACCTCTCGAAGAGCCATTGTCCGGTGCTTATGTTAAACGCGCGCGCTCTTTGTGGCCTGTGCTGGTGGGTATCACCTTCCATATCAACCCCATCATGCAAGCTGACCACAACGTTCTAAGTATAGTTTGCATTAGGCATATCTGGTGCTACATACGGCGCAGCGGCTTATTACACTAACGAAAGTGCAATCTATCACGCATCCCTACTTGCTACTGCGATGGGAGGGTGGCGTCGGCCAGATTCTCCTATGACGCACGAACTGATGGCGATTCGTCGCTACGCGTTAAAAACAGTGAGTTAGAAGGCGATTCGGAATCTCTATCAACGCCTACAAGTGCCTAGAAACTTGTTAAAGGTCTCAATTGGCTTAAGAAACAAGTCTCTTCGTTGCCACCTGCAATAGCTCAGGAAGTTTTGGCAATATATGTCATGTGTGCCAACCATTGGCTCAACATGCCTGAAGGAAAACGGACTTGCTATGGAATAACTGCGATCAATTCGCTTGTGTTCATCGCATGGCAGATACCTAGACTTCGGCCATTCATGGTTCGGCATTTTAGTCATCACCCCCTCTCAGGGAAATCCTATACTCTGTTCACCTCCATGTTTAGGTGTGCAATTCATTTCCCCCTTTTTACTACATCACACTTACTGTATCTGAGTTAGCCATCAAAACGCCATTCACTTTCTTTTTAACTCCATCGCCCTGCTCTCTTTTGGTGGGTTTATACTGTGCCGCGTGAAGTAGCCCTAATGGTTGCCTCAACAGGTGCTGCCTTCGAAGTGGCGGATAGCCAACGCCCGGGCGTCCTCCATCAACCTCATGACACTGACCGGTACCACTTCCTCGCTTTCTACGTTTGTGGTAAGCCTCATCATTTTCGGTAATTTATCGAAAACAATTACTCAATGATGTGCAGCTGGACTCTTCTCTGGCGCCCTCTCTCATATTGTTGCAACTAGGGTTCGACTTCCCCGTTTATTATCGGCTTTGTCTGATGCGACAAAAGCGAAATCAATGGATCCCTCCAAATCCACGATACGTCCATCATTGGGAGCCTCAGGAGCCATCGTGAGTGCATCCTCCTAACAGATTATCGTGGTATCAATGCTCGTCTAAGTATGGCGCTGTCGCCATGACCGCGATGGCAATGCCCGAGACTCATGTCACACTTATCTTCTTCCCATGGCTCCCAATCCCATCGCAGGTGGGCTTTGCCGGCGCAGTGGCATTAGATATAGTGGGCATCATACGAGGCTGGAGGTGAGCACAGGAAATCCTTCATCCCTGTGGGCGGAGCAGCGACACTTTAAACAGGGTTTTCGATCACTGGGCCCACTTGGGGGGTGCATTGACAGGGATGGCGTATTTCTTCTATGCCCCATGGGAGAAAATAAGGTTCATGCTGTGGAGAACTTTTAGATCGTAGAATTGTCATAACCTAAAGCATTGCTATATGGATCCAGCCATACCTCCCCACTCTTGCAATAAATGGAAGTGAAGTTGGTGCAGTGAGGAAGATAACTCGTGGTGGACACTTTGAAGCATGAGTCGTGGTGGAGCTGCCCTGAACCCCGCCCCGGCGTAAACACAAATCTCACCCCTATCAATATTGGAAGAACCATCTTCACCCGCGAACCCAGTGTGCTGAGTATTGCACTCTAAACTAGCGATACAACTCCACATTTTGAGTCCTGGGTTTGGGTCGGAGTACACTCAAAACGAGTAACATGACATGTACTGCGAACCGCCTGCAGTCCGCACAAGATATTTCAAGATAAGGCGATCAGCTCCGAAATCTGGATTGGGGTACCAAAGCATCGTGGGCATATATGTCCCTAAACAGTAATGATTGGATGGAGTAGTCAGGATGAGACAAAGCTGTACGCACTTTTGTTCCCATGGATAATCAACTGATGAGAATGGAATGTATGTTAGGGCGCTATACAGACAAAGTACGAAGGGTACGTACACCACTTGTCATCAACTTCCTCTCCGGCGAAATACGGAATACCTGGGGGAAGTTTACCGGTTTTTTCCTTCAATTTGTTGTGCACTGCAGCCATGTGTGAGTAGCGGCGGATGTGCACTTCTGAATACTCACCCACGAAGATTCCGAAGGTTGCCTTCTTTTTCTCTCTTTCAGGCTCAGGAAGCTCAGAAAGTAACCGATCCACATCGGCTTGTAGCTCGGAGACTGCGTACCTGATGGAGGCCATGAGTCATAGGCTCAGTACTTGAGTGATTGGTGTTTACTGTAGAGTCAGCCTGGAGTCATCGATTTCGTCTACAATGAGTACGTTTCGTCCTAATAGAATTTTGGAATTGCCCCCCCTGTGGGAATACAGAGTTGAGCTTGAGACGATATCTGAAAAATGCAAGCCACTAACAGCCATTGTGTTCGGATTACTTCCTTTCCAATTTGTTCGGCGGTAGTAGAAGGAAGAGCCTCATATAGGGAAAGGCCTATGGCCTGAATGGGTATGTTCTTCTGGGTCGATGGCTCTTTCAGGAATGTCCTCTAAAAGTACCCTTGAGCGTGATGATGAAGAATAGCTGGAATTCTACTACAAGGATGCGAGCTGGAAAGAAGCCTCTGACGAACAGCGGTGTTAAACCATAGTCGCAACAGTTATTCCGGGGACATCAAGCTTACCCTCCTCCTGATTTATACAATGGGAGTGTCAGAGATCGTGGTTCGTGTCGAGAGCCTCTCGATTACTCACCGATCGCTACGATCAGGTTCGGTTTGAATTCGGCGGCAATTCTTTCGCTGGCTTTCCCCACGATCTGGAAGTGTATATCAGTAGATCATGTCCATGGGGAACCGATCCCAACTTACGACATGTATGTCGTTATAGGTGGCTCGAAGATGTCCATCGTTTGCCATTCTGTGTTCAACCACAAATGTATGTATTGGGCCTGAGGGCGGTGCTGCGACCAGTTGTTTGCTTCCGTCTTCGACACGGTCGAATCCGGTCGGACACACCACTTACTGGCCGACTTTTGCGTTTGACACGTTCAATTTGGCTGAGAGGTTTTGACGTCTTTCTGCTTTGTTATTTAGTACTCGGCCATATCTAGCATTAGTCGTCCCACCATGCCTCTCCTCTCACTCCCGCTGACTTTCAACAATTCATTCTGGTCTCAAGTGAGGGTGATGCTACTTTCTCGCCGCTTATTATTACTCACACACAAACAGGACTACCGTAAAGGTCTGGAGATAGCGCATACGAAGCTTTCACAGGGCGTAGAGGAGAATGGAGAAATCATAGCCTTCATTAGAGTGCGTCACACTGACCAGTGGATTGGCCTCGGAATTGCTGAGTGGAATACCCTCGCCAGGCGCGGGCTAACGTTGAGCGTAGCCTTGCGAACTCTTTGTTGAGCACTCAAATCACTTCGCCTTCAGGCATGTTTCTATTTGAAATCTGCCCCTGACTCCGCCTCACAGTCGGGTGTTGCTCACAGGTTCAGGTTTTGGGAGCGATGATGGCGCAACCTTGCTGATAGCGTTTCGCGGACTGCAAGCCGAATCACGAAAGCAAGGGGGAATGCACCGAGTTATCGCGCAGGAACTTGATAACTTGGTTGCAGATCCATTCGAGGAATGGGCAAACCAGCATGCTGCTCGTGTTGCAGAGAGCAAGGATACGCTTATTGATGGATGGCTTCGTATTTATGAGGACGGTGTGCATGAAGTCTGTCCCGGATTTTCCAGAACACATTGCATCAGATACTCATCATTCCGTCCAGGTCGAGAAAATCAAACAAGCATATATCTTCAAACGACAGCAAGCTGATGATGCGGAGGATGAGTGAGTGCTTTAGCGGAAAGGCAAACTGTACTTCTGACGGTACTCCGACTCATAGTGCGAAGTTTGCACCTGCCAATGAGGCGCATGGCAATCTGGCATCCCCACCCTCAAAAGCGCTTCAGCGCTCCGGTACCGTTTCTGAACGCATTGCACAGGGGCTTTTCGGGAGGAAGTCACAGCCTCTAGCTCCAGTGTCCCAGCTTAGCAATGTGGCGGAAGAAGCAATCAGCGTTGCCAAGTTAGAGAAGGACAGTGACCAACAATCTGTCTCTGATGCAGAAACAGTCCGGCCCACGTCCCCTCTGAAAAAGCTCGACAAGGGTAAAGGTAGAGCAATCGATGCGTCGCCCCCTGGGCCTCTTCGCATTCCTCAATCACAAGCATCCCTTGATAACGGCCCACTCGTCACACTAGTTGGAGTTCCATTCACCGGCAGCGCAATTCTGGATCTCTTGAAGCGTGCCAAGTCTCAACTTCCACTTCGCCCTATTCGTATTCCAATCCTTGGAGAATATGAAGACACGTTCACGGGGGCAGATTTTACGAAATGGCTAAAGGACAATGTGCCTGCTTTCGAAGGAAGTACTGAACGTGCTGAGGCTGCCGCGCGTGATCTCACCGAACGCGACAACTTGCTAAAGAGAGTTGGGGATCTGGGTAGAGGCTTCCTGTTATCGTGATGATGATTCACTGACGCTCGTTCTAGGAAATAAATTTGAGAACCATCCGGCTGTTATCTATCAATTCCGGCCGAAGGTAAGCTTATTGTTTTTGCGGCGGCACCGCTCAAATCTTTTTTCAAGGCATTCGAACCGCTTCCTAGTCTTTCTCTCCCCGATCAGAACAAGGATGAATATACCCTCTCTCCCGTGCCGCCTTCCTCGTCGGCTGGCAGCTTACTCCAGCGCTCAAATACTCTCAGCAGCTTCATATCCAAAAGATTGAACAATTCGGCAGAACCGTTGCACGTCAAGCTCCGTGCCGAAGCAGATGCCGCTGACGCTCGGTACAGGTATGCTGTTCATGCACTTGATAGACAACGACTTTCTTTGGAGGACCGAATTGAAGGTACGCTGAAACTGTGGAACCGGTGGGAGTTGGATCGTCTGCGCGCTGTGAAGACTGGTAGGTGTTTATCGCACTCTTCTGCTCGTCTCACAACCGATCATCCTTCAAGTTCTCTTGCAGTATCACGGGACGTTGTCTAACGTTCCCAGGGCACTTGGCCCGTCCTTGGACACGTCCTCCAATCTGATTTCTTCGTTCCAACCTGAGGCAGACCTCACTGCCACTATTGAACGCTGCCGCAGCGGGCCATTCCGCCCTTCGCCACCTATATACAAGGCCGTCGGAAGCGATGTGGTTGACAAGGTGTTTGGCATGGAGTTGAGGAGATGGGCGGGCGAGACGGCTTTGGACTCTGGTCGGACTCAGACAGAGGGCTCACCGCCAATCGTCACGAGTTTCTTGCGGGCACTGACAACTGCTTATGAAAAGTTGCCCAATAATGATGGTTTGTGCCCTCTCCTCACAGCTAGTTCGTATTGCTGAGTATTCCACGACACTTTAGAGCGACGGAAAGCATGGATTTATGACGTAAGTTCTCATCAATCCAACTCTCGCGGATTTTCACTCTCCGTGCAGGTACCGCTTCCTTCACAGCATAAACTTCGAGAGGCTGTCAATGCTCTGCCTGTTGACCAATCTATCAGCCAGCATCTCCTGGCCCAATATGATGCGCCAGTCCTTGCTAGCACCCTTAAACTTTGGTTGCTCGAGCTCGAGGTCCCAATATGTCTGTGGGACGGCTGGGACGAGATCCGAAACATGTACCCCTCTGGCAAGTCCATAAATTGACGTGGATACTGAGCCTAGGCTTATCACTCTTCAGTTGGCGCCGACTCGTCTTTTGATCACAGCATCATCGATGATGTCCGTATCGCTTTGGGAAGGCTACCGAATGTTCATCTTTTAGTTCTTGATGAGATTATCAAGCATTTGAACAAGTACGTCTGACCAATTTGTTTGCCCAGAAAACACTCAATCATAGAACTCAGGCTAACGAAAGACACGGAGGAGGGCACGGAGCCCGCAGATATCTATCGGAATAAACTTGCCCTCTCTTTGGGAAGAGGTATGTATTTACTGCGTATAAATTTAAGCGGTGATACTGAGTTTGCTCGTGAAGCTATACTACGACCCCGCATCGAGACCCCGTTGTCTGTCCAAGACAAGCACCCAACTGGTAAGGGGCCGGCCACCTTATCCTCCAATGTTGTGGGATTTACACCATTTTCTCAGTTTTCTTCATCGACCTTCTCACTCATTATGAGAATGTGCTCCCAAAAGCAATACAGCAAAAACGGCGGGATTCGGGGAGTAGATTAATTCCTTTACGCAAACGTACTGCTCCGATTGATATGCGCGTCCACCGGGGTACCGCGCCTACTCAATTTGACTTGTCAAAGCTGATGCCGCAACCTGACCCGAGCAGGCTGCGGACCCGTTCCCCAGGCCCCGAAGGTCGTGTCCCCAGGCCGTTGTCACTGACCGCCAGTTTGCCCCAGCCGGCTCGTACTTTCTCACCACCAATTTCCTCGCCACCTCGAACAACATCTCCCCACCGGAACGACCCCAACGTCAGCTCAACTTCTCAAACGCTCCCTCAGTACCGCACTTCAGAGAGCCTGAGCCTGAGATAGATGATGCCCCTTCGAACTCGACTGTCGTCATTCTTCCGCCAACACCCAGCGATCAGGCTCCCGCCCCTCTTCCAGAATCTGCGCCTGTTGGTCTTCCAACGCCGGGACCCACCCCTCAACCCACTCCTCCTGTTGACGGTTCTCTTGCAAGTCAACTCACACCCGTCCCTGTGCCTCCAGTAGCGGCGCTCCCAGCCCCCACTTCCGCTCCCCAGTCAGTAGCCCAGCCCGCACCAATTTCTCAGGAGACCATACCACTGTTGCCTGAAGCCGAACGGATCATTTCTTCAAGTCCTGCACCAGCTCACTCGCCTGTGGCTCCACCGTCGACAGCAGCACGAGCAGCAAGTCCCAGCACACCCGATCGTCGAGGCAGCGTAACATCCTTAGGAACCTCATCCTCGCGGTCAGCCTCACCTGTCAAGACGTCGCCTTCGGCTCCAAATGGTCGAGTGGCAGCTGCAAGGGCAACGCTTCAACGGAATGCCTCAGTTAACGAAGGCGGACCAGGTGGGCCTAGAGGTCCTCGTGGTCCCCGTGTGACCCGTGGCCCTCGCGTCGTTGGTGCTCCGACCAATGCGAATAAAGGTGGAGCAGGAGCAGGTGGAGAAAGTACTGGCTCTAATACTAGTCGTACGTCGATGTCTCCTTCTCGATCTTCAAGTCCGTCGATTGAGAAACAAATTCCTTCTACTACCGCTGCTAAAACACCTGTCGTCAAATCCCGTCCGGGTACGTCCACACCTTTACGGACTTCTTCGGTCGCGAAGAAGCAACGCCCTAGTTCGGCGGTTGCGAAGAAGTTGACGACGAGGAGCATGGCCAGTGGGAGTGAGGATGAAACATTAGGGAGGAACGACGATTGATTGGAATTGTTTGACTAGTTCCGTGTTTGGGTTCACGTTTTACGTGCAGCAACCCTAAGCTTTAGGTAGGTTCGCTCCGGATTGTTCACCTTCATAAGGATCGAGTTCGGTAGATCAGTGGATTCCATTCACATAGCTCCTATTTCTACGCGATTTATATATATATCTGTTTTGTTTTTGTTTTTCTCTCTGGTTTTTCGCTCATTTTCTTTGTTTCGTCTGGATCTATGCCTACAACGCAACGGAAAAACTATGCAAAATTAAAACTCCGTTAGCCAGAGTGTATGGATATTTTCGCAGTTATGCTTTGCATCGATTGACGAGGAATTTTATATGTACAATGCCAGCTCGTGGGCTAATCCTATGCATTCATTGAGTGGCGGTCATTTGTTTGGGAATGGTGGATGCTCGATCAAAGAGCGAGGACGTGGGAATGGGGAAAGTAGCACTTTTGTCATGTGTTATTCTACCAGACGAGTTGACCACTGCGAAAAGATATCAGCGCCACTCACCTGAAAGAATTGTTTTGTTTCAAAGAATGAGAATTCAACTCACCCATCAACAAAATACTCCCCACCAGTCATGTAACTGGCATAATCACTGAGTAATAAAACAGTCTGGCCCACCATCTCTTGGGGCTCAGCAAACCTTCTCAACGGAATGTTTGCCGCTTGATAAGTGCGTAACTTAGGATCCATATGAGACGTTTGATCAGTATTGACATAGCCTGGTGATAGTGTATTGACGCGAATGCCGTGCGGAGCCCATTCCGCCGCGAGACCCTTCGCAACGGAGGAGACAGCAGCCTTAGAGGAGTTATAGAAGACCTGCCATTGGCAAGAGGGATTAAAGGGATCAGATGGGAGAGGTAAGTGTGGCGAAACTTGTGGGGAGCCGGAGTGGAGTAGGAACACAGACCTGGGTAAGGGGAATATTTTCTCCGGCTTGATTGATAATCTGTGGGCATGATGAGAACAATTCGTATCACCCATCACTTCTGTCATCTCCATCTCTCACCTGAGAAGACATGCTAGAGTTGATGACGATGCTGCCTTTGCTTTGGCGAGCGGTCCAGAGCCTGACGTTTCAGAAGCGTGGTATTCATACCTGAAAAATTGAGAGGGGTAGAAACAACTCACTTGGCGGCCGCTGTGGCGGTATTGAAGACCCCAAGCCTGTTGTGACGCATGCAACTTATCAGAAGAATTCATTTTGCAGCCGGGAAGTGTGAACTGACACGTTTACACCATAAACGAAGTTGAAGTCTTCTTCGGTAAGCTCGGTGGCAGGCTTCACGACAGAGACACCGGCGTTCTTTAGGGTGAATGAGGTGACACGTTGGAATCGCTCGACGAAAATGAGCAGGTATAACTCACGGCGACGAGACCAGTGACAGGCCCAAGCTCCTCGTCAATTTGCTTGAAAACCTTGGTAACAATGTCCGCCTTGGAGACGTCGGCCTGGTACGCCTGGTGAGACAACATAAGTAATGTTTAGGGATCACATCAGGTAGTTGGTGGGGGCCTTGCCTTTGACTTCACTCCAAACTCCTTTGCAATCTTCTCAGCAACAGAATCGGCATCCTTGGAACTCCTAAGGAGGGGAGGCGACATCTCAGTTCCATTACAAAGACCGATCATCGGTGGGAAATGAAAGCGCACTTGTAGATGATGGCGACGTTAGCACCTGCGGTCGCGACGCCCCTATGTTCACGCGTCAAGTCTTAGTTCGAGTAGAGCATCCAAACTGTACAGGCAAGTATTGAAAGGGTGGCGGACGCGCACCTGCTGAGTTCGTAGCCGATTCCACGGTTACCTCCAGTAACGATAATGGTCTGGCCAGTGAAGTCGATCGTCTAACGGTGCCCAAAAGCGTTGTTGTTAATTATGATTACGATGGTAAAGCCGATCTCCACTTACAAAACCTTTTGTCATTGTTGTGAGAGGGGTCAGATTCTAGTTGGGGTATGAGTGGGAATGGCAAAGAAAGATATCAGTCAAATCCCGTTAAATAGTGAGACCAGTAGCCATGTCGGAAGCAAAGGGACTTGGGAGAATGATGTGAGCTGAAGCTCAATCTTAATCTCATCTCAGACAGTTTCCCACGCTCCCTCGAATAGAAAACTTGCTAAACTGGGCCAAACATCGTGATTTTTCCCCCCCGCACTGTGACCCGCTTGATCGTTAATCAACACTAATCACTGTGGTATGATAAGGATGATCCATCTTGGGAATTGGTCCAGAAGAAATTAACTACTAATATGAGGGATGGACGGGTTATCAATCATTACTCAGGGCGGTGATGCCTCGTGAGGAAAAGTAATTTCGGACGCACTGCTGAGCGAATTCTTCGCGCTTCCGCGCAAATATATCAATAATACAAGGAAGCGCACAGACTGGTGACATAAGATAAATCGGAGAAGCACGATACACCCGATAGGAAAAGTATCACCGACATCTTGTCAAGGGTTGACGGTGACCACCGGCCACTGATTATATGGTTTGCATCGTAGTTCCAAAAGAAGCTTACCAGGTCAGATACCTGCGGGGGGACATATCATGCTGACTTCAGAATCAAATAATGTCACAGAACCAACCGGGTCCGAGCTCTATAACAGAGCAAAATCAGCGCAACAGTTTTGTTGCTGATGCGGCTTTTTCGTTCCCTTTGTGCGCGCGGGTAATGCAGGCGCCTTCTGATCGTGCGTGCCGTTTATCCTCATCCATGTGCGTAGTTATTCACTCAACCCTCAGGAGTACTAGGAGTCCGACTGGTAACGCATAGGGGCATACGAAGATCAACTTTGGACTAGGCGGGACCATGACCGAACATTAATGATCGTGACGTAGCCAGCCTGATAGAACGGCCGCGTGATCACCCATAGGAACGCAAACCCGGCCCGGTGACATATGAGTCCCGCTGGCTATGCATGGCCAGGAGGCATCTTCTAGTACAGTCATAGCACTCAGTACTAGTAGAGCCACAAGTAGAGCGATACTGCAATGGGATGCTAAGGTGCAGATTTATCAACTTAGACCCCCATCAGAACACTTCATTAGATAGCGAGTAAGTAGTACTATATGCGATAAGAACCCAGCACTTGGAATGATTAATATAATGTTGGAACGCCAGCTGAGAGGCTGCTCGCGCGATCGGCGATGCCATCAAAGTTAAGCAAGATCCCAACCTCTGCTCAAGTAGAGCCAGTGCTCAGAGCTATACCAATCTAAATGAAACGTGAATGAGGAATCACGAAAATTAATGGAATTGTTTCACATCACCTTCTGGCATCAAGTCGCTGATGCGACTGAATCGGCGTCCTCTCAACGGCACATGCCGTTCCAGCGTCCTCAATGGCAGCCCCAGGCTAATCATGCGTTCTGGTCGTTTTATCGGGTTACAGCGCTTTCGCGGTTACTGAGACAACATCAAGAAAATGATTTGCGAGCAAGGATATCTTCCTAGCTGTTTCCCCTTGACATCTTAGTTCTAACTCTATGTGTTCAACTTCGCCTAAATTCTTGGGACAACGGGGTCTACTTTTGCATTTAGATGAGCTGATGTTAGCGAGGCCCGAGCACCGAGAAAAATATAAAATGACAAACAAATCGACGTCGCCACTACTTAGTCCCATCCATCCTCGCCCCTCCACTAACATATCTTAGAAGCCAATCTCTCTAGGAAGGTTCTCCTAACCCCTTCCCAGGAAATGGCCCAGATGGGAACATAAAATGTTGAATTTTCAAATACTTTGCGTTTGTCTCGTCTTTGTCTGGCTGTGGTTGCCCTTTGCCTGTTCGGGAGTCCGTATTTCATCATCTTGTCCACTCAGTTTTCACCCCTTTTATCTGGGGTTGGTTGTATGACTAGCACCTTCCCCTTTCTCGAGAATGGCGGCGGCGTTTTTTCACCTGGAAACTGAAAGAGCTATGCATCATCCCAACATTCTTCGGGATTGTTACTGTTACATCTGCTGTAGTTGCTCGGATGTTGCTCCCCCTCAAATCGTCAGCGCGACTTTTGCATGGCAGTTGCCATGTTCGATCGCATTAATTTTCTCTGATGGCTGTCATGAAAGCCCGGTAGTTACTTCCAGTGAGTCCTGGCGATACTGTAGCTGCTATGTATCTTCGAAAAGGCGCTAGGTTATTTGGTTCTCTATTCAACTTTCGACACATATGGTGTACACGCGCCTAGTAATCCCCTCACCTATCTTCTGCTCAGCGTTTTCTGTTACTGCTCCCATGCTGTTTCACTGGCTGCACTGGGGGCATCCGATGCCACGGGTCGACAGCAAAAATAGTCTCTCTATCGAACTAGGATACCTGGATTGCCGGGGCTTAATTGGTATGCAACAACCATGCACTCGAGCGATTGTTTACAGGATACTTCTGGGTTCTTATTTTGAGATGACTATTTCCCTTCTGAACAAGAGCTTGTCTCTTCCGGATATGTTGGATACAGTGAAGTATCAGACTTGTACCATGGGATTCTCTATGATCCTCACCGAAGTGGGATCTGGATGATATGTATCTGTCCCCATTTCCTCTGCCCATCACTATTGATGAGTGAGGTTCAATGTCCTAGACGTACACGGTGTCTAAGTCGGCATTGCCGCCTTAAAAAGTCTGCTGCTCATTTTCTCCTCTCGCCCGGTCACGCGCACCTCCCAGGGGCCCACGACCAGCGGCGCGAATTTCATTGATAGATTTCATCAATGATACAAGGAGCAGCGTGTGTGCCAGCATAAACGAACGGGCGTGCATATATTGCCCCCTAACAGAGGCTGACGACCTGCGTCTGTGATTTAGTAGCACGTTGGCTGTGTCTATCGCCTAGGTAACGTACCGGGGCATGACCGAAGTTGGAAATCATCATACACGTAGGGAATCCTCGGGATTGCACTCTGAATCTTAGACAGCAAAGTTGAAATAGGGTGCCCTCACCCCAGAATTTCGGGGCACTGGTGTGCTTCTAGAACAGCAGCGACGGAAATCTATATACTGCGCAAGCACTTTTGTTGCCGTTTAATAACCTAAAGCTATACGGAGCAGAAACAGCTCGGTGGAAGTAACCATGTCCGTGCTATGTAAGGTCCTGATTGAACATTTAAGAAACGGGGCCAGCCTAGTTCATGAATTGGGGGCCGCGTTACGCGTAGCGCTACTTCAGTTCAGAATCAAGAGCTAATCAATTACAGGAGAGTTTCACGAGATGATCGCTGGTTCTCAAAGCGATTGCTGTGTCTTTGGGGTCCTCCAATGCAATGCTTCAATTGCCGGATGGTTCTCGCTAGAACCTGCCACGCAGAGATTTGTACTGGTACTTCCCAACCACATGCATGTTAACGACAAAAGAACGAATGCATTTTGGTACTATGCTACAAGAATGGATCGACGATTCGCCGTGTAAGGCTCATCGCGATAACGAAGGACAGAAAGGGAATGTCGGGAAAGCGAATTGTTGTATGTCGCACCCCAATACCCGTCATCCACCAAGGGGAGCAGAGAGGGCACGACTTCCAACGGAATGAAGAGGATTCAAAGTATAACCAGGTACAAGTGAGGCCAAAAGGAATAGTAGGATGTAAAGCGGTTAAGGCGTGTTGTTTGTGAATGGCAACAAAAGTGCGAAAGCATGCAGGTTGAAGAGGTGATATGCATTTGGATGAGCGAAAATTAAGATGCTGGCGTCCAAGGGTCGTGTCAAGGTCGTTGGCGAATAAGCGTATGTGATAAATACGGCAGAGCAAGCTCACGAAAAAGATGTGAGCGAGGCGAACGGGTTGTTAAGGAGTGGTTGACTTCGGCATTCTGAGCAGCGAATATCGGGAGAGGATCATGCCACCTGACCGATCAACGGTCTAGTGAGCCTGGCTACGAGGCTGCCCCTTGTCTCGCTTTTCGTGCCTCCTCCATAAATCCACGCAACTCAGGACTTGCGCCGCTGATGTCATCGTCGACGGTATGAGTCGAAGGGTGTTGCCAGTACTGGTTACGGTCCGCAATTGTTGAGGGAGTATTTGCGCGGATCGAGGCGCGGTTCAGTGATGCAGTAGAAGACATGCGAGAGAGGGAAGGAGGGGGACAGTACTGGTTACGGTCCACAATCGTTGGGGGGGCACTCGCGCGAATTGAGGCTCGGTTCAGTGATACAGTGGAAGGCATGCGGGAGAGGGAACGGGGGGCGTCAGAGTTCATTCCGTACATGGAGGTCTGACGGGAGAGGGTGCGGGAACCAGGAGCAGAAAAAGAGGAAGGAGGGGCTGCACGCTTGTGAGGGTTACGGAAGGACGATGGGGCATGGCGAGTGGGGGGTGTGATTTTAGGAGCAGCATGATCGTCTTCCCAGTCATGAGAGCCGTCGTCTTCGAGGCCAGTGTGCTCATCAACCATACCGACGGTGTCATCTTGGATCACGATTTCTTTGCCGAGTGCTTGTTTTCCCTGCTCAATGAGGCCACGAAGACGCTCGCTCATCCAATCCATCTGTGAATTCAAGCCATTAACAATCGAGCACTGCAATGGAAATATGTGACGAACATGTTCGTCCACCTCGTCATGATCTTCGTCGTCGGCAGCAAGAGGCTCTTCCATTGCTGCCATGCTCATGAAAGAAGTCTGGGAACGGAGGGCCGGCGAAGACCTTCGGACAGTGAGTCTCTTGGGACGAGTCGGCTTTTTCTTTGGTGTCTGCGGCCGAGGTTTTTGGGGGGACTTCGTTTCGGATCGAGCTGAGACAGATACGGCAGTGGCAGACGTTGCCGTTGACGGCGTGGGGGAAGGGGGACGAGGAGCTTCAACCTGATAGGTTGTGGGGGGTCATGATTCTGCTTCTAAGTTTTGGTGTCACTGTGCTCACCTTTGGTGCATCAACGGCAGGTGGATGCTCGATTGGAGGGGCCGGCCGTTCATCCACAGGGGGTTCAGCTGTCCATTGCCGGGTCTCCTCGTAAGGGGGTGGAGGTGGACGATGGATATCCTCGGCTGGAGTGAATTCTGTAACTTTGCCGCGGTCTCGCCAACTTGTCGGCAAGAAGTACGTCAGCGCTGCTGTCTTGAAGAGGGAAAATTGTGAGGTTTGCTCACAGCCTGTAAGCAGTGAGACCTACTGCTGTACCGATTAACGCAGCGCTCTATCGAGTATGAAGGGCACGTAGATGATGATGATCAGCAAAATGGCGGAGAGAGAACACAAAGTGCGCACCAGCGCTGTCGAGATGATCGTCTCCCCGAGACGTCGGCGTTTGTTGGGGGGTTCAGGGTCTGGAGTAGTTGATCGGAACAAACCCATCGATTCGGCGTAGGAAAGAGTGTCAGCGGCAATGTCGACAAGAGACGTGGTGGAGAATGGGGTGGAAAAGGGAGAGATTGTAAGTGTCAAAGTTCTCGAAGGGTCCGGCCAGAAAATGAATGAGGGATTTGTCGCGTGTTAAATAGCATGCGCCCACGAGGCTGGCACCATTCGGAACACTTGAGGCTTAAAGAAACGATGCCCTTACCTGAAATGCGGTTGGCTTCTGATCTGCCATACCTCTTCCGCGGTCGAGAAGCTGCGTGAAGATACTTGGACGGCGTGTCGAAATCCCCTGCGGCGAAACGCGAATTCATCTTTGCAGTGGTTGAAGGTGCAATGGACGGCTCCCATCCTCGTTTGTATCCAACTTGACGCGGAGGACTATACGTATGATCGCGTGATTCGCGAAAAGCGCATCTAGGAGGGCGGTGTGGTCGTCTGTGTGGATCGCCACGATGGGTGACCACTGCCCAACTCTGATCTGGGTCCGCTTGCTGACTACCTGAAGACATCGTAGAGTATAGATAGCTAAAGGGGTTGAGCGTATCAGGAAGAAGAGACGTAAAAGTGAAAGGGAACAGCATCTTGTAGCTTCAAGAACGGTTCAAAGTGTTTATCTGATGGTGTCACAACTGAAGTTGTCCTCTGTTTGGTTCAACGCCATGATGCGTCGGCGTCAATACAAACAATCATTGACCGACATCGTGCCCCTTCTAGTCGCCTTTAGCGCAACAGCAACTTGGGATGCAAGGCCGTGAAGCACTCTCTTTTGTCACAGATGCAAGTACGGATATAGGATTACTGGTATTCCGGATGCATTGTTGTGCGTATCTGTGTATGAATGCGTACAGTACATTGGCGGTGGAATATATCCTAGCTCTGGTCTCACTTTCATGCCAACTGTTGTAGTATCAAAACCAGACAGGCTTCGCTCCTCTCAAATTTGATGCATTTTGAAGCGGCACTATACTTAATAGCAACCGTTCCTTTAGGCCAGCTGATTCTCAGGAGGGTATTTACTTGACGCTTCGCAAGCGCATATACGTGGTAGGAACGCCCAGGGACTGTCCGATGGTCAAAGGAGAAATGTTGGCAAACGAAAGCAAGCCGTTCGTCTTGGTAATGTCAGCATTGGCGTCACACGTTGTGGGACTGTGGGAAGATTCGCAATGTCGGGAGGATCCGTCAGCTGAGATCGCGCAATTTCTGCTCTAACTTATCAAGTCCCAGGCAGGAAAAAAAAGCAACAAAGAAGAACAGGATGTCAGCTTCAGAAGCTGTTGCATGGACGGCGGTTCTGTCCAGTAGTCTTGTCGTTGATGTGCTCACTGGCGACGTCACTTCTTCGGTCTTTACACCCGAATACGCAAAACTGGAACCTTCGACTCATGCCCGAATCGAGGCCATAGCACCGGGAGGCGATTTCCTTCGACCTTTGAAAACGAGAAAGGGGTTCGAGGCCTCTCTGATTTCTCTCACAATTTCTTCATTGAGTCCTAACACACTTTCCCGCCTCCTTATCACACTACCCGCACTCAGGAACAGTCCTATAGTGGTTCATATCGCTCTATCCTCAGCTGGATCGTTATCACACGCCCTTAGTCTTCGCTCCTCTGCCCCGTACTTCCTTGTCTCCGGCACTTCGCAGCAAGCGCACGATCAATCCATTCTTGCGTCCAAATTGGCTCTATCAGAAAAGCAAGCAGTCATTCATGCTTTTTCAATCAGTGATTCTTCAGGAGCCAGTCTGATTAGCGAGACATCACATCACTCGCTCCTCTCTGCTCGCGTAGTGCCAGTTCATACCCATGTTCAATCATCTGCAAATGGGAACGCACTACCTTTGGCCAATGGGCATGTCTATGCAAATGGAGATGCCGGGAGACATGTGCGACACGATAGCCTGTCGATGAATTTGGACGGTACACCCGAAGCTGCATTGTACAATAACTACACCAATGCAGCACTTTCTACTTCTGTTTTTACGAGACGGGCGCTGAAAAGTTGGGTGTATGTTGGGCCATCCCACCCAGAAATACTCGTCATTAGTTTAGGTAAGCCTAGGCTGACGGGATAAGCTCTAGTGTCAGCCAATTGATCAATTGGCGTGAACAGCCGCACAGAACTCTGTCCAATCTTCAACCCTTCCCCTTTCTATGATCACTGGGGTTCTATCCCTTAACGTATTTCGACCCCTTCCGATTTCAAATTTGCGCACTGCCATTCCTTCTTCGACCAAAAGTATAATCGTTGTATCACCAAATAGGACAAAAAATAAGCCTCCAACCAGATGGAGCCCCGTATACATAGACATCGTCCGCGCAGTACAAACCCTAGACGATATCAACCCACGACCATCTGTAGTCGAGGTTGACAGTACAGACCCATCGTCATTGCCCAGTGATGTCCGAGAATTGTTTGCGCTGACGTTCTCATCGCCAACTCAGCTTCCAAAGAAGGCTTTTGTGGTGCCAAAGCATGAGAGCTCTTATACATCACTGCTTTCCCACATCTTTGCGGATAGATTAGAACTGGTGAATGATCCGACGATTGTGGGCACATCTGAAGATGCCACTCGCCCTGAGTTCGCTCTTGGGAGGGTGAAGGCGAAATACGACCACCAAACTAGCCTCCGAGATGCCGTGAAGGGCTTTCTGGATGCATCAAATGGCGTGGATGATTTCACAACTGAGTTGCGTACCTTGCTTTCGAAGTGGCTGCTGGCGAAGGACGACGGTGTCAAGACCCGAGAATTAGGAGACAAAATTATGTCTGTACTTCCAGATTCCTCTTCTTCCAGTTTTTTGCAACGTGTTCTCAGCCTCAAATCCAGTTTCAAGTTTCCATCCCGCTGGATTGTTGGCTCTGACGCTTGGTCTTACGATTTAGGCGCGTCGGGACTGCACCACCTCATCACTTCCGGCTTAAACGTTAACATACTCATCCTCGACACGCATCCATACTCGACACGCTCCGAGAACCCTCACGCACTTCGCAAGAAGGACGCCGGATTATATGCCATGAACCATGGCGACGTTTACGTAGCCTCTGTGGCCGTGTACTCCTCCTACGGCCAGACACTTCAAGCCCTAACGGAAGCCGATGCATACAACGGGCCGAGTGTCGTTTTGGCGTACCTCCCTTACTCATCGGAAAATGAGGCAGCGTTAAATATTCTGCGGGAAACGAAGCTGGCCGTTGACTCAGGCTATTGGCCGCTGTACCGCTGGGATCCTTCGAAGGATATCCCTGGCTCGGAACCATTCTCGCTTGACTCCGAAGCCATCAAAGCAGACCTCCGGGAGTTCCTTGATCGACAGAATCATCTTTCTCAACTTACCCTTTCTTCCCAATCCGCAAACATTGCCAAGGAATTCGTTGAGAATCTTGGTCAGACGCTTCACGATACCCGAGCAGAAAAAGCAAAGGCGAGCTATCAATATCTTCTTGAAGCTCTGCAGTCCGATTCAAAGAAGATATGGATTCTCTACGCAAGTGATGGTGGTGTGGCGGAGAAGATGGCAAAGAGACTTGGTGTGAGAGCGGGCCAACGAGGCATTGCGGTTTATGCCGTCCAGACCATGGACTCGTTCACCGCTAGTGGTTCACCCATAAAGAAGATGAAGGAAGAGGCAACGGAGGGGACTATTTTCCTGTTCATAACTAGCACAGCCGGGCAAGGAGAACCTCCTCAGAATGGAAGAGAGTTCTTCAAAACGCTCAATGCTGCTGTCACCGCTGCATCAACGCCATTCACCGATTCTAATTGCGAACTCCGGTTCGCTGTGTTTGGTTTGGGGGACAGCAAGTACTGGCCTCGCCCCGAGGACGCTGGCTTCTATAACAAGCCCGGGAAGGACCTTGACCTTCGCCTGGAACAACTTGGTGCTGAGCGCATCGCGGTGCTTGGTTTGGGCGATGACCAGGGCGCGGATGGCCCACAGACCGGTTACAAGGTTTGGGAACCTCTTGTGTGGTCGGCCCTCGGCGTGGACGACGTTGACATCAAAGAGGCAGAGCCTGAGCCAGTAACGAACGAACATATCAAGATTGCGTCCAATTACCTCCGTGGTACGATCAAGCAGGGCCTCGAGGACACTACAACAGGGACTCTGGCAGAGTCGGACGGTCAACTGACCAAGTTCCATGGCATCTACGTGCAGGATGATCGAGACATTCGCGACGCGCGGAACGAAGCTGGACTGGAACCTGCATATGCCTTCATGATCAGAGTTCGAATGCCAGGAGGTGTCTGTAGACCCGACCAATGGCTTGCTATGGATCGCATTGCTGACGAGCGAGGCAATGGAACATTCAAGCTCACGACGAGACAGACCTTCCAGTTCCATGGAGTCATCAAGCGTCACTTGAAGCCTGCCATTCAAGCCATCAATAAATCTTTGTTGGATACAATCGCAGCATGCGGCGATGTCAACCGGTAAGGTGCCATCTCATCGTTTGGACGGGGTTCTAGATATCGTACATAGGAATGTTCTAAGTTCCTCTAACCCCAATCTATCCCACCTTCATCAAGAGGCCTACGAAACCGCCAAGACAATTAGCGAACACTTGCTTCCCAGGACATCTGCATACCATGAGATATGGCTTGATAAGAAGATGGTTTCAGGTGATGCAGTGAAAGACTTTGAGCCTATGTACGGCGAATTCTATCTGCCTCGCAAGGTATTCCGACTCTTTTCCTGCGTTTGTACGATATGGCTCACTTTCCGCATTTACAGTTCAAGATCGCAGTGGCTGTCCCGCCCAACAACGATGTGGACATTTTCGCCAACGATGTTGGCTTCATTGCTATCGCAGACAGAAATGGCAACCTCGAAGGATTCAACGTCTGTGTCGGTGGTGGCATGGGTGTCACGCATTCCAATACAAAAACATACCCACGGACGAGCGATGTCATCGGCTTCTGTACAACTAACCAGGCGAAACATGTCGCTGAGAAAGTCATGTTGGTGCAGAAGGACAATGGGAACCGAACTGAGCAAGTTGCCATGTTTACTCAATTTTAATCTTATCTCACGCATGTTTGCCCCAGCCGCAAAAACGCTCGGCTTAAGTATACCATCGATCGGATGGGTCTGGATGTTTTCAAAGCTGATGTGGAGCAACGCCTCGGCTACCAACTTGCTCCAGCTCGCCCCTTCGAGTTCACAGAAAATGTCGACAAGTTCGGCTGGTCCCAAGGCTTTGATGGGAAGAACCACTTCACTATGTTCATCGAAAACGGCCGCGTACAAGACGAGCCTGGAAAAGCATTCAAGACTGGGCTTCGCGAAATCGCGCTGCTTCACAAGGGAAAGTTCCGGCTGACTGCAAACCAGCACCTGATTTTGGCAGATATCGATGATCAAGATGTCCCTCTGATGAAGTCACTGCTTACGAAGCACAAGCTTGACAATCTCGACTACTCAGGATTGCGATTGTCATCTTCCGCTTGTGTTGCATTCCCCACATGTGGACTTGCAATGGCCGAATCGGAACGAGTGAGTGTGATACACAAGTTCATTTGGAGCTTCCAACTGACCATGCATCCAGTACCTGCCGTTGCTCGTTGATAAAGTAGAAGCCATTCTGGAGGAGAATGGTCTTCGGAATGACTCAATTGTCATGCGGATGACAGGGTGTCCTAATGGTTGCGCCCGGCCATACTTAGCGGGTAGGCAGTGACTTGTTGGTGAAGAGACCCAGCATTCATTCCTTATCATGCCATAGAAATCGCTTTCGTTGGTAAAGCTCCTGGTGCCTACGTTATGCTTCTCGGCGGGGGGTACTACGGCCAACGATTGAACAAGATCTATCGAGGTTCGCAGTTCTCTCCCTACGTGTCCCCTGATCGTGCAATCATTCCTGTACTTCTCTCATATACAGAAAATGTAACCGAGCCTGAAATCCTCGCGATTCTTAAACCGATGATCAAACATTATGCTCTAGAAAGATTGGAAGGGGAGCGCTTCGGTGACTTTGTAATTCGCGCTGGTTACATTGCACCCACTACTTCAGGAAAGGAATGGTATGACCGTATGGGAGGGGAAGGAGTGTACCGGCTTCTCGATGATGCGTGATTTCTGGAGAATTTATCGCCAGTTGGATTTGGAATCTGTGAAAATGGAATGTAAGGGCTTTCTTTGCTCCCTCAGGCTGTTGTGATTTAAGCGATGTGTACCATTCTATGCCAATGACTGCCAGTGAACGAACCAATTGGAAAAAAAGAAGCATGAACTCTAGGTGTCTAGTTCAATGCCTTCTCAGCTTTCGCTTCCTGCAGGGACTCGGCAATGCCGTTGATTATCTTGTCAAGATCACCTCGAGACGTGTCGACTGCAGTCAGGCCCATATGTCTGAGATTGTTAGACATCAGCATCAAGATCAAAACAATTTTCTCGAAAACGAACCCTATGCGGAAGTACTTATCTGTGTGAAGGTGAATATGTTGATAAATCAGTCATTTAGCAGCTAAGGAGGTTGTGCCGAACCTCTAATATCCTTGTGTAAACCTCCTGCCACAACAATGCCCTTTTTGGAGAGTCGAGGAATGATGTCGCCTGCTGTTAGGCCATCCGGGAAGTATAGCTGGACAGGGTGTTATGAATATCACATAACCACTAGGGCGAGCACAGATTATGAGGCACGCGCACCGCCGTCATCCCATTGGCTGCATACTGAGGCTCCAGGGGAAGCTGCCAGTGAAGATAGTTGGTTTCAGACTCGTCATGGCCGGTAATGAACATGATTGTACCTGCTTCAACCCGAGATCCTCGGCAGCCTTCTTAATCCGGGTGCTAGCTTCACGGTGGAGCCTAAAACGTTCTTCGAGGGAGATTCCCCCTTGTGTGATAGACTTGAGGGATTCGTGGAATGCATAAATGAGGTTCACCGGAGGCGTTGCAAAATACGCAGGGCTGCCCGATTCGTATGCCTTCATAATGGGAAGCCAGCTGTATCATATCGACCTTCATGAACCACCCTCGACAAGTGATAACTAAAAGAACGACCCACTTCTTCCAGCTCGCGTAGTAGGAGGTGATCGGGGACTTCCTATTTTCGAACACCTGGAGGGCACGTTGACTGGCTACCAGCACGCTTAAACCGGGTGGTGTGCTGAGGCCCTTTTGAGTGGCGGTGATCACAACATCAATACCCCAGTCATCGAATCGGATCTCTTCGCTAGCAGCGGCACAGACTGCATCAACTATCACCTAAATGTGCATCACTTGTCTCTCAGGGCATGAGATCCGATCAGAGTACAAGGGCATACGAGGATTTCAGGAGAGACACGTTGCACTATTTCAGCAATGCTCTTGACTGGGGAAAGAACACCTTAAAGGACAGAAAATAAGTTTATGCACGCTGTAAGGGTTAGATGATCCGAGGAACTCACCAGTACTCGTGTCAACATGAGTGATAGTCAACACTTTATATTTCTTCTCCTTCAGTGCGCTTGAAGGAATTTAGCGATAAACGCCTAGGCTCTAAACATTTTACGGCCCTTACCCCTCAATATGAGACGCACTAGGGGACGCTCCAATCGGCGCCTTCAGTTGCGTCACTTTCGCTCCATAGGTTTCCAAGCTGTACGAAGGTTAGCTCGAGAAATCTCGTGGACTACTGAACGCCCACCACTCAGCAAAAGAATCCCCAAAGTATCCGGAGTGAACAACAAGTGCCTAAAGGGCTCAGACCGTGAATACCTATCCTTCATCAACTAATCGATTAAGTGGTTCACATTCTCTCCAGGCTCCACGAGGTTGCTAGCGACTTGATCCCACCCAAGAGTACCACTCCCTGATATTAGAAATGGCTGACCCGATGTGGTAAGAAGAACGTCCCTACAATGCTCGTAAGTTGCAACGGTTTGTCTGCCCCTAGTGTAACGAGCGGACCTCAGCATTCTGATACAGTTTCCAAAGACAGGGATGAAGTCTGGACTAATATGCGACATAGAAGGGTGTGCATTTGCGTAAAGGACCTGCGGATGTCCGTCAATCTATGGTTCGCCAAGTGAAAGAAGGGGATCAATGTACCTCATCGGACAGCTCAATAGGTCCGGGAATGCTGGAAGAATCGGTCAATCGGGCACTCGGGGACTATGTCTCTTAGGACCGGGAACTCACAGAAGGAGTCTAAAGGTCGGCAATGCGCCATCCAGTTAGCCTATAACCAATGTGAGCGATGCATCAGCTCACTTGTGCGGCGCCTGAGAATATATACGTTGAGAGACAAATCATGGCAGCGGTCACCGTCATCCGTACGTACCTGTTTGAAAGGAACACTCATGTTTGATGATGTCCGAAGCTGCGATCGAGATGACGGGTAGCCTAAATAATTCGACACTGCTTCGGCGTGATGAGGCACATGTGTGCTTCTGTTTACGCGAACAAGCGGGCCGATTTTTGACGCAAACTTGAACGGGTTCATGGTCAAAAATTGCCCTTAAAATTCGTGCACAGGACGTCAAAACAGGTGCCGGAGGTACTGTGAGTTCGTGTCAAATCCCGACAACAGCTGAAACACGGCGTGCGAGAAGTAAAGATGGATTCCTCCGAACCCGCAACTGGGATTACTGTGTCCGTTCCAACTCACCTACAGGAAACTCTTATCAATCTCGATAAGTGCAAAGAAAATATACCCAGTTCTCTCCATGAAACCATACGCGACTTTCTTAACCCTGCTGAGGACCGGGAAAGGGAAGGTGGTTCCACACGAGAAATAAGGCATCACACTCTGCATCAGATATCCCGGTGGGCTCAGTCCGAAGAAGGACGATCTTCGTTGCGTTCTCATGGTCTTGGCAAGTGCATATCTCGCTGTCATTATTGCTCCCTGGTGTTATTCAACCTCGAAGCCCCTGCAGATCCCGCCGACTACCTCCTCATCTCTCTGCTCTCAGGAGTAACCTCATTGCCTTTTACAAATCCGCCTCCATATGACCCTGATGCGGGAGACCCCAACAAGGCGTCACGTCGTGCTGCACAGGACCGCCGAGCGGTTGTTGCGCTTCTAAACGCGCTGTTCAGTATCTTAGGTGTGGGGATAGGATCGTTCTGGATCGCAGGAAGTGGGGGTTGGAAGCTGGAGCATGTAAGTCCCCTGTCTGTTATCACTTGGAGCATCGTAAGAATCAGAACTAATTGAAGAATATTATTTTCGTGAACGCGTAGCGTACACTATTTGCTCTGTTTACTGCAGTAGTAATCGCCACCACTGAAGGCATACTGTACCTCATCTGGAGCAATAGAGCGAGCCAGAAGGATTCCCGGCGACGAATAGCGAAGCGCTTGTATACCAGGGTTTCATCTATAAAGGATGACGACCCAGATGAGGTGATTGCGGAGATACCTGAATTAACACCAAATGGTGGCACTACCCTTCGTAAAAGGATTGGCGTACAGTCGGGGGGAAGCGATTTCGGAGATCTTGCGAGCTTATGATGTGTCAGCAAAGGCTGTCCCAAACATCTGCTGTTTTAACCAGGCAAGAATTCCCATTACTGACCACCCTTTGATTTATCCCCACCTCCTTGAGCCACAACTCTGCCTCGCAATCGGATCGAGATAAATTTGGAGTCTAGACGAGTAACTCACACTCTAGTTCGGCTAGAAATCGCGGCATACTTTTTCGAACTGCAATACTCCTCGTTCTTCGGTGGTTGAATGTTAACACAACACTGACAAGCATTATCTTCTACGGTTTGATTCAGGGAAGTGCATTTGCTTTTAGCACTGGACTGCTTCTTGTGTTTCCAACATTGTGCACATATATATGCCGGGACGAGTATCCTCAATGAGTGGCTTGAATTGCATTTGGCACACGCACGGCCCACTCGTGCCATCATATCATCACTCTTCCGGCCAAGGGTAGCATTTCACTGCATTGCATAGGTCGCCACCCGGTGACGCAATTTCTGTGATGTTGTTGACGAGCGGTATTGTCCCCACATGCCATAATCCATGTGTGGCCTTTCAGGCCAGAACCGCCGGTACTAGCAATTGGGAACCTTCACCGCAATCCTACCTCCATCTGGGCGTGCCTATTGTCTCCAGCCCGACGCCTACTGGGATGGAGTTTTGAGTTGGCAGTGGGCTAGAAGGGCAAGGGTGTATGAGGCGTTTCATCCACTGTTCCTGAAATACATCTTTCTGTTGAAAACTTGGTCTCTCAAAGCACCACACAATCCGGACCGACGCCAAGGCGGTACAACAGGGCAGGAAGCAGTCGACCCATATGTATTAGCACACTTTTCTTGACCTGATCACGAATCAATCCAAGTGTAGATAGTATGGGGTTTAGATGGATGGCAGCATTTGGAGGATTGAATTTACACCGCTGTACGATTGATCAATGAACAGTAAAGTCCGTACATTTCTGCTCCAATTGACGAACGCCTGGCCTAGATCACCGAGCATACAATGGTTCGATACGCTCATTAACGAAGAATGAATGCAACAGCTCCCTTCCCCCTTCACCAGATAAGGAACTCTCGGCAGTTCATGGGAGTGAAGCTACGCCATGAACGGCATTCACCAGATTAAAATGGCCATCACGAGGAAGGACTGTTCGTGGATGGCTCTATAGTGGAGTATCGACGACCATAATATACTAACGGAAGACGATCATCGCTGGCATCGTTATCCTCGACTCGCATGACCCGAGCAATAAAAAGCTCCGAGTTTACATCTGGAGTCTCTTCTGCAGCTTCAGAACAGGAGTACAGTTCCGAGGAACTAATACCGTACGACGTCAGCGCTTCACCATATAACGGTAGCGATGTGAGCAATGCGCAGGACAATGCACCAATACATCCCGAGAGTATCGGTATTCCCTCCTTTGAGAGCACGTAGCGCGTGTCCGAGAATGGTTTAGGGTGGAGATCTGCGCGAGAAAACTTTATGGCAGTATCGGTTTGCGACGCGCTAAGAATGTTAATGATGAGGTGGGGAACGGATGAGGTGTTGCATGGGTCTGGTTTCCTAATGGAGTCCGCCGAGCGAGAGGGAAGTCGAAGGGAAAAGGCAACAATAGGGAGCGGATGGAGGGAGATTGACGTGAACGAGGAGAGCGTTGCACCATGATACAAAGGGACGTCCTCTGAGCCTTCCTTATGGTGGAGTCTAGGGTAAGGAGCAGTGAGGACGGCAACAGGCTGTGCCGAATGCCTAAGGACCTCTTTTAGGCGGGCTTGAAGTGTCCAAGTTCGCCGGGCGGACGTGTGTTGCAGACGATTGAACGTCTGAAAACGCAACATGCGTCTGTTGGCTTCGTGAGCGTGGCGGTGCCGGTGGGCCGATCCCGACCAAGGACTCGAGCCGTGAAGCAAGCCCTAGGCAGGTTACAGCAAGTCCATTAGGAGGGTCTGTGCATTTTGCACGGCATGGTCGAACCAATGGCGATGTCGAGGTCCGAGCTTCCTCTTGATCTCCTGCCGCGCATTGTCAGCTTCCTCGATTCGCCCCACGACATCTATCAGCTCTGCTTGGTGTGCCGGAAGTTTGTGTTCTACTGCAGGGAAGCACTATACGATGGCTCTCGCTTCAGGTGCTGCAAGCCAGATTTCGGGTCTCGCACGGATGATTATCGTCGAGTTGGTGCTGCCTCACCTGGGTCCGCAACCCCTATGATGCTGAGTTGATTCCGGCCTATTTTTAGTTTGCTAAATTATTGGGAACGCTTGGGCGCTTCCCCTATCTCTCTGCGCATGTGGAGGAATTTGGTATGTCCTCGGAGCCCCTGCGCGCCACCGAATTGGTCACTTAATGCTGGTGTGCGACTTTGATCCTACAGTCTTCCCCGCGTTCAATGCCGCGCATGAGCGATACAACGAGCTTTTGGAATCTGCGCTGCTCAATTGCGCCAACGCTAGCTCTTTCCGCTGGCGGGCATCCGAGCCTATGCCGACCCCTGTGTTGCGGAGTTTGGTGTGCCTACCGGAGCTGCGGGTCCTAGATATCAAATTAGGGGGTTTGGGGCCTCAAGTGTTTTCTCAGACTCTGGGTTGCATACATTTTTTAGAGGGGGTTAGACTCAGAGATATTTCAGAGGAGTTGATACCACACATCCTTCCTTGGGTCCGACGTTTGTCACCAACTCTGCGCTCGCTGACGATTGAGGCTAGTATTCCTACAGGAGTGCGTTTAATGGTGCTTATTCCTGTTTTAGAATGCCGTATCCTTAGATAACAAGTCACTGCAAGAACTTCACCTGCCTCAACTTCGAAGCTTAATGCTGAGCAACTGCCCTGAAATCAGCACGGAAACCATATACTGCCTCCTACTTTGTGCTACTGAAATAGAGCAGTTGTACCTTAATTTGACTGCACTGGTGAGCAGATTCGCATTGGAATTGGGTTGGGCGGAGACGTATTTTTCATGGTTTCTACGTCCAGAGCATTTCAAAATTGGTGAATCTCCTCAAGGAAAATCCCACACCCCGCTTTACTCGACTACGAAAGGTCTCCTTACCATATGAGCCTACATTGGCTTATTGGCTCCACGTACAAGAATTATTGACCCATAGTCCAATCGAAGTATTCCATATAATACAGAGCACTGTCGTCCCCATGTCAACTATTGTCCCATTCCCTCTCGCTCAGCATGGACCTGCTCGACACCGATACCGAGCAGATATCCTTTCGCATATGACCCCTCCGCCTCCTTTATCTCTCGCCTCTCGACGTCGAAAATACCCTCTTCACTTACGTGTTCGAGATTCCTTCACAAACAGCTATTTCCATGCATTTGGAGGTTCCACTCCACCGCCTCGTCCTATCTCGGTAGAACTTGATGATGGTTTTGTGCGGCGCTTCGTCCATCTCCACGGTGAAACACTCAGTATCATCTGGGTTGTTGGGATGGACATATCCGAGAGCTCTCTAAATATCCTCAGATCCTCATGTCCGAACATCGAGAGGATAAGGGCGAATGATATTGAGGAGGAATTTCAGAAAAAATAATCAATGATTGGAGGCGAAAACGTGTAATATTTGTAGTACCCAGTACTCCTCGGCTGTTACTGTAATACATGTGTAATGGGATCTTTCTAGTGGGCTTGATAGTGTTTTCCTCACGTAATGTCGGAAATCGGGGTAACGTAGTTTTCCGACGATAAATTGACGCAAATATCATGTGAACGCGCACTAGATTATTTGTATTGGCCGGAGTTGACCGACGTCCTGTATCGGGGGTTTGACCCCGGTTGAATAAACCCTGCATTGAAGAGGCAATTTGCCGCGTCTCTCCACTCTTTAGCCCTCCCACCTGGTGTAGTCCCTAGGCGAAGAGGCATTTCACGCAATGGCATCGTCAAATGGGGATCAGTACCGTGCAGAATTGTCAACTTGGTTAGATCAGGCGGTGAGGACGGTGCGGGAAGACACTCAGTAGTAAGCATGTTCGGGTTGTGTTGACAAATGCGCTGACGACGCGCTCATATCGTTCCTGTCTGATACGCATGCGCTTCCCTCGCTCTTGCGCGTGGAATTGCTTTTACTACGCGACTTCACGTCATGCGAAACACGTTACAAAATCCTAGTCTCGAAAGCGAGTTCTTTGTTCCATTTTGGAGGAAATATTTTGCATTTGGACAGAGGAACCCTTTCACGACCGTGAGCTCACGATATCATCGCTTCGGCTTCGGGGCGCCGATCTCACTTAGACGCGGGCGAATTAGATTCTCCTCACCACTTTCGTCGTAGTTAGTTTCCTTCCAGTGCTATCTTTTTGGTATGTTATTGGAAGGCTATTCTCTTTTACCGATGAACAGAGCACCTGAATTTGCATGATGGGATCTAGTGCTTTTGGGGTGCTCGTGCTTTCGTCCTTCACATTCATCGCCTTGGTATCGGCCGCGTCGGCTGCCGCCTGGGTCCTCTCGATTGCAGGTGAGTAATTGCCACGCCCCTGGCATCAATCTTGTCACTTCGTAGGACCTAGCTTTTCTGAAATGCTCAGGTGTTGACTTGGCTCAGTCTTGAGCCTTGGGGGTGCTCGCTTTGTCTTGGCCGCCATGCTTTCATGATTTCTTGGTGACCTATCGTTGATTCGTCCTGAACTGGGGACTTGATCCTTCCTGTATCCTTTTTGTAACCGTTTCGCTGACTGCTTGTGTCCCCCCCCCTCTCTTTCCTCACAAATCGTTCCAGCATTAGGGCTGTTCGCCGTTTTAGGAGGATCTTTCACCATTTGCTTCTTCCTTTCCTCGTCCGCCTACGCTGCATTCCTTCAGTATCGGCTTTTCTCGCACATACTTGATTCAGCAAATCATGGCGGCACGAAGGGTGCAATTTGGCAATGGGCACAAGAAACCTACACCCGACTCGGTCTTCCACGATCACCGCCATCACCGCCATCACCTACCTCGGCGGCAGCGCCCTCATATCAGGAGTTCATCGCGGCAGAGCTGAAGACTGCAGAAAAATGGAAAGCTGCCAATGGTTATTGATGTAGACTTACTAAGTCGCAATTGGAGGGTTTTGGGATTATGCTATTCGTCAACATTTCCTATATCAGGTCTGCTGAGTGGCGGGCCCCCGCTGAACCGCGTGGCCTCGAGTGATTTTTGGCTCGCAAATGTGGCTGACTAGGCCTGTATTAGTTATAAGTGATCCCACTAAACCTGATTTGTATTGTATTCACACTACTGTGCGCATCTCGGCATTGTCACCTCCACCTCAAAATATGCCATTCTCCTCCAACCTTCGAACGTTGACCTCATCGACCAGCATATCGTTCAGGCTGTCTTTCCTGATACGCTAGTTTTTTGTCGGAGCGCGCGGAGACTTCCGATCATATAAAAGCATGGCTGGTTCCCACCTTCGTTTCTCCAACTTTCCCTCTCCCCCTATGTTTCGTTTACGCCTCCGTTTAGTTTTAGCGCAGTCCGCTGAAGGAATGAAGGTTGCTATGGGCTGGGCGTGGCCTATTGCAATTTTTGGCCGTCAGTTTAGGTTGTGATCGTGGAGAGCGTGTTCCCAACTATAGTGAGACCTCCCAATCGTGAGACCCCTTGTGCGCGCAGCAGCCTGGATCCAGCCTCTTTTCTGAGTCTCCAGATTTGCTGACAGTGCTAAACTGTCCCAACTTCACTCCATGATGGATTACTGGCCCCTTACGCCCCTATCGCCTTGATCTCAGGATAAGGTCGCAGTTACAGGATTATCTAGCGGGCACATAAGGTGAGGTGTTTCCCTGTCAAATTTCCGCGTCTCGGTACAGCTCCGCCTCGTTTACGCGGGAATTGGTGCCCATGTTTTGAAAACCCATCTGTCCGCTCCCACTTGCCCGCACGGAACACAGTTTCAGACGTGAGGGGCGGTCATCAAGCTCCGAATAAGAAATGGGGTGTGAGCGTGTTGGCCGCGCACGGGGTCAGGAGTAAACTTTTTCAATGAGATGCTGTGAGCGCTTATTCCTGTGGGGACATGGGGTTGAGCATAAGGAAATACGGCTCCACTCTCACCACTGAACAAAATCATCAGCGACTCGTCGCAGTTCCCTTACACCGTAGCCCATGACTGCTCGACACGTAAGATGCTCTACCATCCCCTCGGCGCAATTAAATTACTTAGGTTGTTGAGTGGCTGCCGCGCGGCCCCTCGGCGCAATTTTTTCACGGGCGGCAACAGCTTGGAAAGGAAACCAGACAACTGGACAGGTTGTTGAAGACGCAGTCTCGAACTACGTCAAGAGGGATAGTCGAGCTGAGCTGGATGCATAGATAGGCCCAGGCAGGATCCCAGCCTCTACTAAAGTAGAAGATAGGCGCTGAGAATTAGTCACTGATTTATTCGAATTGAGTGACGGACATGTCCTGAAGTATGTGTCGACAATTATCTGAGCTTGAGTGTAAGGGAGGGAACAAGCCATCGCGTATTCTCTCGGTAATGCCTTGGGCATGTTTATACACCCTATGCCGTTATACCCGATAAGCGCCAGTGCTGCTATTCGAATGAAGCGCGTCATATCTTTATAAGGCGCGAGAGGTCGGATCCCAAGCCCAGCTTCTCTGCTCTCACTTTCTGGGCTCGTCCGCACCTCTTCTGATCTGAAAATCCAAATGGAAGTCGAACACGGAATCATTGATGTTTCAACCTGTGCGTTTGCTCCAAATTTGGCCTTCACCCCCATTCAACGACTGCCGTCTCACTCGCACCCCCCCTCCAGTCCTACGGCCAACCCGATCGCATTACTCTGGTAAGTACCATTGCCCCTCCCAGGGCCCATTACATAGTGCTGACCACAGTTCTCCGTAATTTCGTTCCCGCTGTCCATCCAGACTCGATGAGCTTCCCAACGCATTTGGGGCTTAATAATCAAGCCCACTATGGGGGCGAAATGCTGCCAGGTATGGCCCGCCATCGTCGGGGATACTGGGTCGAACGTGGGACGCTGATGGCTTCATTTGCCGGACTTATCTAATGTAGGCGCTGGTGAAGCCCTGCCCAAGAAGAAAAGCCTTCCGTACACTTCTGACATCCACGGGAGCCAGCCGCCGTGGCATGCTGTTGTTCAAGCACCCTCTCTGGATACGGATGAAACCATGTCCACATACCAGAAAGGTCCCAATCCACTGTCTTCAATGTCGCCTGTTCTTATCAATGGGGAAAGCTGGTGTCAGTCTGAGCCCTTGGGTCTTCGGTCCTTTGATTCGCAACGTCTGGACTTGGGGGTGGCATCAGCTTACTACTCAATGAATTTCCCCCCATGGAATCAAACCGAGGCGCAGTGCTTGCCTGCCAAGCCTCCCGATACGCCTTTTTCGACCTCAGTTTCACCACAACTGTCAAGCATGAATGGCGAAACTCACGGGAGGCCTCACTTGCCCCGAATTTCCATCCAAACAAGCTTTGGTAACGCCAAAACTTTATCGGAACGAAAGGAAGGGGTTGGTTGTGATCTTTCCGGAGTATATCGTCAATCTTCTTCTCTGGTTTCCCCGGGCTTTGCTTTGGAGCTCACGGAATCCTCATCACCTTCCACCCTTGCCTTAGGGACCTATCGCGGGAAATCACTCCCTTGTGTTAATAAACCAATGGATTGGCATATGACCTTGGATGATTTCTCTTGGCTCGCGTCCGTGCTCTCTCCCAAGCGCCGTCCTAACAAGCGCGAACCCACTCCTTCGGGGACTTGCCGATTCTGCGATGTCATCTGCGCACGAGCCGGCAGCCTTCAACAACACGTCGTCTTCCAGCACCGTCAACGAATCGCCCGGAAATACATCGGGAACGATCACTATAATCAAGATTTGGCATTGGCGTTCACCGTCTTACAATTAGATGCGGATAGCGAGTATGAAGATATGTCAAACACAGACACCAATATGGGAGGCCGCAGGACCACCGAGGAAGCCACTGAGAGTGAGGTATTCCGCGCAGCTCTTGCAAACGGCCCCGTGACCTCGATGGCTTCATATCCACATCTGGTGGCTCGTTTCCACAGGTTCTGCATGGCCGAAAAGTGGAGAGGGGTCCATTGCAGTGCATGTGGGATGCTCGTTCAGAGGAAGCTGAATCTTAGTGAGCATCAAGCCAAATGCCCTGCCATCCTGGGATCTCAGGCAGCCAAACCCAAAGGGCCGGGCCGCAGCGTTCGTTCTGAAGATAACAACCAATGATGGTTTATGAAACCAGTGGATCGTAGTTCTCGTCCTTTGTCAAGCTGTCATACCATCAGCAAATGTACATTTCTGATGCTCAGCGTTCGGGGGGTGCGGGATCTCAATGACAGTATTCTCAGCAAATCCTATTGTTTCGGCTACAAGAGCATTTCAAATCCAGGATGAATATCATTTCGGTAAAGGTCTCTAAGGCACAGGTGGACAAGCGCCAATCACCACTTAAGGTTCCCATGATTCAGCTGTGCAGAGCCGAGCATGATGACGTTAATTGTTAACCTTCACTGTCACGGCGATTTGGTTCACGATTTCAATTTATTTCCCGCCTCTGCCGTTTCCGCAGTTGCATTCCGAACTTGGATGAACGTTGCCCACCGTCCAATCGCTTGGTCCAACTTGTCCTCCGGCAATTTAGCAAGTAAGAACCCATTTTCTAACACGTCAAAGGCTAGGATTTCAAAGTTCGCATATATCGTTTAAGTACTCTCCGCTAAGGTGAAATTTCGCTTGTGAAGGGGACCTGCCACGTAGACTTTCTGTTAGGTCATGGTCCAGTGTGAAGGCTCGCTTGTTAGGGCACATCCACCTATGAAGTATCATATGAACTACCGCAGCTAAAGAACGCCAAGGCCGCGTACCTGTTGCGCTGAGTAGTATCCTCGCTTAGGCACATAGAAGATTACCAATTGGGAATCATTGGTCGCAGAGTTAGTACGTAGAGATCAGTAGCATACCGAGCCAGGCTGTGCATACAGTCCCCACATGGACTATGACTCGAGTGATGGGCAAGATCCGACTCCATAGCGGGTGGACGCCATTTCCAATCCGCTCGGGCTACCCCTCTGTCTTGCTCAGTGATATCGACGCCGGAAAACTCGTTGGGCCAGTCAGCCGGGCGCTATGAATCCTCATGCTCAGGGGATCACAATTAATGTGAATTCACCTTTTGTTCGTGCTCGACAATTGTCTCAATACCCAGCCGTGTTTCTCGAAGTGCAGTTCGGATCAGAACATGCATGTTGGGGATCGTCATACCGTATTCACGAATCACTTCTGCTGTTGAGGATTGCGTACAACTTCAGTATACCCGCGTTCGTGGTTCCCATCGATAAGGACCTCTTCAGCCTTCGAAATTAGTCGTCAGCCCCGGCGGCCGCAGCTGGTGATGGCCGCATGGGAATCATTCTCACCCCAATGCTGCCTTCATACTTAATTCTCTGCCCAGCGTGCTGTCCATTGCAGCTTATCGGCGGTACGAATGTAGTACATCACCACTTACGAGGGTGGAATATCCGTCAGACTGCCGTATTCACATGAATATCGCTCAACTAGTGGGAATGCGGACTCCTTGCGCCCAACTGAATCGTCAACTACATAACGGCACCATGTGGTTCCAACACATGACTTGATGGCGCGAAGCGCTTTACCCACAAGCATGCCCACTTTGAAACCAGCTTCAATAAACTCGCTCTAATGAGCCGAGGGATTGATGACCCGATGTAGCGCTCGCAAAAATCTTTTTCCCACTTACCCATACATGGATCATATACTTCTTGCCTCTGCACTGCCTGAGGGGGAAAGAAGCGGATACCCAAATGACTTCGCATGCAGGCCATCTATCGGTGACTAGTCATCAGTGCGCCCAAGGTGATTCGAATAAGATGCGCGCTCACATTTCTTAACCTATGACTATGAGACCGTCAGGAGTAATTGATATGCGGGGAACGACCGAGAAGGCCCCTAATTAGTCCAGCTAAGGCCAATGGAACAAAACGGACCGTTTTGCTGGATGTTTGCGAGATATCTAAAACGATGGAGCCCATACTTCAGAGTCGATTGAACACCATCACGAAACGCGCCTACCTGTCATTTGTATCCTGGTTCTGATGATAGATGGACCCATTGTAAACTGGGGATGGACACGACGGAGCCCGCAACCATAGCATCCTTGTTCGTGCCAAGGGTCTTCATGACAGTTGGGAAATCCTTCAGCCACTTTATCCTAACAGGAACTCATCAATGTCGAACCTTGCGCATTGAAACGAGGCCGGGTGACGTTACTGTAAAAGTTCAGCGCGAGACGTTGGCAGAAGTTATTGTTCGTCTCTAAATCAGGTTCCTTGGACTCTGACTAGAAACCGATCCAAGAGTAGGATGAGCATTTGGGTCATCACTCATGTATCCCGCGTACCCTGAAAACATCCGTTTCCAATGAGATACACTCACCGCATCCGGTCCTGGCCTTTCAAGTTGACTTCGCTTTAAGGTCCCTGATGTTATCGACACTACCCTTGACGGCCTTGATAATATCTGCTTTCGTGACGTTCTTTAGAATATCGAGATACGAGATTTCCGGTGAACGACGGCTCGTGAGGCACCTAGCCTACGTGACCGTTGTCCGACGGTCCAAGTCGGCTCCATCCGTCTTCGGTAATTGACACCCGACATCACCCACCCGCCCCTTCCTTTCTCCGTCCAAACGATCTCTACATGTAAACTCGATGTGCAGTACTACAAGTAGAGGTGCCACGTGTAATAACTGCGCAGCGCGATACCTCAATTAGTGAGGTATCAGCTGCTAGCGCAAGTCCGGTCCTTATATACATCTTGTAATGACTCTACGCCACTGAGGTGAAACATGAGTGGTAAACAACAAGTGGAAAACAAAAGCGTGAAGACAAAGAGTCAAAGAGTTTGCTGCCGTTCGTGCCTCAAAGTGCCCCTCCCCTTCCCAAAGCGTGAATGTCCGGCCCGGGTGACTCCTTTGACCACCAGTGGTGTTGGGCTGCAACTTTTAACACTCCCCCACAGTCCAACGTCCACACATCCATTTAGGCCATGAACTCCATCCCAAGCATCAGGCAGAAGTGATCATGCTTTGCCTTGACTAAGGACTTCGTAAGTACGTCGGCCACCATATCATTTGTTCCAATGAGCTTCAGATCAACCATTCCATCTGCAACACATTCCCATATGAAGTGATACCTGACATCGATACTTTTGGTCACAGCATGATTGACGGGGTTTCGAGCGAGTAGGTTTGCAGCTTGGTTATCAATGTGTAATGTGGTTGAGCTGGGCATTCCTTCATGTAATTCCTCCAGGAGGCATCGAAGCTGTCAAAAACCCTGGATTGTAGGGGAAAATGCATGAGTCCGAATGCAGGCAGGGCTCAACTAGAGGGGATCCGAGAGCTCCGGTAGTGAACTGAAGCTTCTCCAGGAAGCCCGGTTCTGCTGGGTGGTACAAGAGGCTCTAAGAAGGATGCGGCCTCAGTGACTCAGAGGGAGCACTGTGCCTCCGTTACGTCTCAGTTAGTCCTTGTATTTCATGTGTCTGAGGTATCTTGTAGAAAGGGGTTGGGATTCACTCAGAGGGACTTGGGGTAACATTTTAGTCGAGATTAGAACTGGAGAAAACTACAGGTTCTAATCTACAGGTATTTATATGGAGGAATGGAAAGGACTTTAGTCAAAGTCTGAATGATAATAGAAAACACTGAAAGGTGCTGAATGATACCGAGAGGTACCAAAAGGTCCTGAACAATATCCTTTAACGGGGAACCAAGGTGTCGGGTCAAGGAGGGCGGAGTAAGAGGCTGGAGGATGAATGGAAACAAGAAATGGGTAAGAGGGGGTTAGCCGACTGAATGGAAAGAAGAAGATAGTCATGCTATAAATGGAAGGTGACTAATAAGTGATGACGTGAGTGGGGTCACCAAAGGATGCAGGTAGCTCCGAGGGTGGAGTTACATATCCGAAGGATGTTGGGTGACTCCAATAAATGAAATGGGTGGGGGAATGGTTTAGGGGTATATCACAGGATGTCGGAGATCTGTCAGGAGATTGGAGCAAATCCGGAGTCTCCGAATGTTCCGACTCGGGACCGAGCTTCTGGGATGGGAGTGGCCAAGGTTCGGTGTGCCGCAACCAGGCTGGAGCTGAGACAATTAGGAAGGGAGGTGACTTGGGGAGTGGGGAGTTATGGTGTAGGGGATGGTGAAGTTGTTAGGAAGGTGTGGTGTGGTGGGAGAGCGTGGGGTCGGGATTCCAGGATGTGACAGAAGCCAGACTACTTCTTTGGCTGCTTCGGCTGCTGCAACGTACCCCATGTGTGTTGAAGATGATGCTATGCTGGCTTGCTGCTTTGACATCCATGAAACCACTCCCCCAGATAAAAGAAAGGCATATCTGGATACTGACTTTCTGTTTACCACATTGTTCGCCCAATCTGCATTGGTGTAACCTATGAGGTCCCTGCTCCCAGCTGTATATACTATCCCTCGGTTCATAGTCCCCACAAGATATTTCATTATGTGCCTAAGTCCCTTGATGTGTTCTTGTCTGAAGGTCGATGCAAATGGCGCCAGCACTCTCACAGATGTGCAGATATCTGGATGGGTTCCTAGAGCAGCATACATGAGAGATCCGATGACTTCGAGGAAGGGGTATGAGGAAACTCTCAAATGGTCTTCCATTGGTACTGGTTTGTAGTGTATCCCTGCAGGTAATGGCATGGTGCATGGCTGTCGTAAACGCGGCGTTCCAAATATGGTAACCCACTTCAGCGGTTCACTCGCAACCCAGATGTAATATAGAAAGAAATATAACTAAAATACACATGGCGCTCCAGCGCCCATATTTATACTCCTCAACAACATTTCAGGCTCTTCTATGCCCAGTGCTTACACAGGTGCCTAGTAACCCCTAGAATATTCCCGGATATTCCAGTTCAGTTTCATCATGTGACTCGTATTCCAACAATGGCACGCAATCTGTCATGTTGAAATGAGTGAGAATATCCTTGATATACTGTGACTGGTCAATCGATAGCGTGCTGGCCGATATGTCTTGGTGAACTCGGATCCCCAGGATCCATGATGCTTCCCCTTTGCTTGAGACTTTGAAATGGTCCCCAATGGTGTCTTGGATAGATGTAAGCAGTTTTTCATCGTTTCCAGCAAGGAGTTTGTCATCAACGTAGACAGGAATGATTACAATGGATCATCCTCGTTTGAATACGAAGACCGAGTGGTCAGCATGTGTTTGATGAAATCCAAGTTGAATCAAGAAGTCATGTAAGGTTGTGTACCACTCCCATCCGGCTTGCTTCAATCCATAGAGCCCCTTCTTAAGTTTTGCAACCATTTGTTCCCTCCCCTTTTCCTTGTATCCCTTCAGTTGATGCATGTATATATCTTCCGAGAGCACCCCATTGAGATATGCCGATTTGATATCCATCTGGTGGACTTTCCAACCATGACAGGCACATATGGCAAGAAAAATGCATAGGGAGGCTGATTTCATGATGGGGGCAAACATCTCCAAGTAATTGATCCCCTCCTGTTGACCAAAGCCTTGAGCCACCAGATGAGCCTTAAAACAGGTTACATTTCCATCAGCGCCACACTTCTTGGTGAGCACAAATTGACAGCCAATGATGTTACGGATACTTGGAGATGGGTCAACCAGATCCCAGGTGCCGGTGTCCTGGATGGCAGCAAGCTCTTCTAGCATGGCAGCATGCCATTGGTCCCGCTCAGGGCCAGCCAAAGCTTCCCACAAGGTTGGAGTGTCTGGCAGATCGGCATCTTTATCTAATATGGGGTTCGCCAGATGGGCCTCATCCAACACAATATCCAGGACATCTTCCATGGTGACAGTCGCTGCAATCGATACCTCATTCAGGAAATCTTCATATACATTGGCAATCAGGTCCTTGTGCCAGCCATGTGCACCGTAGTCTGATGGGTCAAAGCGATGAGGTGGACGTCGTTCCCTCTGTGGTCAAGCAGTGGGCTGGGTGGCAGCAGGAGGTACAGTAGGGGGTACAGGCAGAGATGTGGGTCTGGAAGATGCCACCTCAGTCAGGTGGTCCGAGTCATCTGACTCATCACCAGAATCATCATGTGCCCTTGACTCAAAGATGGCATGTGGCTGGATCTTCACCTCCTCCTGGAAGATAGGCAAGCGGACGATCTCGACCTTGTGGGTCAGCTCATTGTACACCTTATACCCAGAAGAATTCTCTGGATACCCCAGAAACTTAGCCAGTTGCCCCCTCTCCCCCAACTTCTGCGCTCCCAAATCTTTCAGCTGGTGAATAAACATGTTAGCGTACCAAACCCTCATGTGCGTGACACTTGGCTTCCTTCTGTGGAATCGTTTGAAGGGCGTTGTTGTATTCGAGTGGGTATCGATGGTCCGGTTCATAGTGTAGATGGCCATGGCGAAAGCATCAGCCCATAAGAAGTTTGGAGCCTTGGCGTCCTTCAGCAAGGTGTGTCTTTTATCCAAGATCTTCTGATTAGTCCATTCGGCCACTCCATTTTGTTCAGGGGTGTGCGGAACTGTCTGCTCCATGGCAATTCCCTGGTCTTTACAATACATCTGAAGGGTTGAGTTCAAGTACTCTCCTCCTCCATCCATCCTCAAAACCTTGACATGGGACCCATACTGATTTGCAAAGTATGTGTCCATCTTGATGAACCACCCTGTGAAATCTGACTTAAGTGAGCATGGATAGGACCAGGTGAAACCTGTCTTGTTGTCCACGAGTGTGCAGAAATATCACCTCTTTCCAAGTGACATCACCTCCATCGGCCCACAGATATCGGAGTGTATTCACCCTAGTCTCTCACCAGCAACCTCATGTCCCCTTCCAAACGATCCCCTCATCATCTTTCCCCTGATACACGCTTCACAATCGAAACCCCTTGAGTTGTCCTGAATGTTTTCCATTCCCAGAACCAACCTGCTCTTTATCATTTCCTTTAACGCATCCTTCCCAGGGTGGGCCAGGCATTTGTGGAGAAGGTCGAAGGAGGGGGTGGAGGCTTCTGCAGCCGGGTTCGCCCTTTTGGATACAGTGGGTGTCAGCTGCGAGGATGGGTGATTGAGGTAGAACATCGGTGCGAGTTCTTTTAGTGTTTCAGCGATCAGCTTCCCATCTTTTTCAATTCTGCAGACATTGTCAAGGCCAAAGGTGATCCAGGTGCCCCGACGGATGATGTCAGAGTCTGGCAGACTGTCAGGAGGCGGATAGAAGATGGATTGGGTTTCTGTCTGAGTCGAGGTCGGAGGTGCAGAGTTCTGTTGGAGCGCGCACGCGGATATGCGGGCGGAAATATGCGGCGCGTCCGGAAGCGCTGTTCAAGGTTAGCAGAGTGGGATCGCGGCCTCAGCGACTCAGGTGGAGCGCTGTGCCCTGAGCTTGACGTTTGGGGGAGATCCCGTATTTACAAACTGACACTTACAGCGGACTTCAAACAAGACTTGCGGGCGGAGCGGACCTGTAGGAGGAGCGCAGACTCCGCGAGCACGGACTCAGAGGGGGGAAGCCCCCTTTGCAGAAGGAGGGACTCAGACCAGACAGGGGGGTACTCTAGTTGATTTCAGACTGAGGTCCCCAAAAGTATTTACAAGGTATATAAATAGGCAAGAGGGAATATAGAAAGGCCGGTCAGTCCGGCGCGGTCCGGCGCGGAGATAAGCGGGGATTGTCAAACTAAATAAGGA